CTCTGCAAGATATTAAGTGTTAGTGCTAGAGCATGCAGTTAAAGTGTCACCAATTTTAATGTTTCTCTCCATAACATTTTAGTTGTTGTTTTTTTCTTTTCTTTTCCTTCTTGGGTGCAGGCACTGAGTTCTCCTTACTTGGGCAATGGATCAAAAAACATGAGGAATCCACAGTCTGTAAGTATACCCACTTTCCAAAGCTTCTCTCTCTCTCCCTCTTTTGTTAACTAAACACACTCACATACATGCCTTCAAATATTTGAGTAGGACAAAAATACCTACTAAGACATATAATTGAGGGGAAAGTTTCCTCTTTTCTTTATTTTCTTTTTAAGCAACAGGTACATGGAGAAAGAAATTCTGTATTTCCTGAGGACCCCGGTCAGGTATGCTTTATTGGATCCATCAATTCATTACAATCAAATTAGGAGGCTCTTTGTAATTATTACTTAATATTTAATCAGGGAAAGAGCCACAAAGAAATAACAAGGTTTCTCAGCTTTTTATAACATCTTTTTAAAGCAAGTGAAAAGTATAATGCGACGCTGTATTTCCCATTTGAAGTCAAAAAGCTTGGAGAGAGAAGTGAATTTACTAATACTTTTTCTTCCCTCCTTTTATTTCCATCTAGCTGTTGAATGACAATGGCCTGAAAAGAAAGGGAGCTCCAAACCAGGTATTCTTTCTTTTTATGCAAAGTTGTACCACGCTTATTATCTCTTTCATTTACTCATTATTATTTTGCATATATCTCATTAGCTTCATCCTAATCATTAGTCTCATTATCACAATTAGCTGCATAATTGTGCAGAACATGCATGCATGGCCAGGCAAAACTATTCACCTTTGCATTAATTAATGAACAAGATAATAATACACTATTCTTTTGATATAAAAATATGGATTACCATCTAATCATTTGTTTATCTATTAATCAATTCATAATCAGGATGCAAAAGATAAGCAGCCAAAGGACTTGAGGAGTAGAGGACTGTGCTTGGTTCCTGTGTCTTGTACCCAACATGTTGGAAATGAAAATGGAGCTGATTACTGGGCACCAGCATATGGCAGTGGATTTTAACACATAAACATGAAGCAATATTTCCTCTTTGGCAACACCATGGAAGAATTTTCATTGTGGATGATATAACATCGTGAGCAGTCAATCTGTGATAATGAAAAGGCTGATTGCTCACGATGCTATATAGTATTCACGATTTACCAATTCAAAAGTCTTATCCATTATATTATATGTATTGTCGTTTCTAATCTAATTAGGTTAACTCAATAAGTATTAATAAGTGCTGTCAAAACATTAATTAATCTGTAATTTTAGTTTTTCTAAACATGCTTTTTCTGAGGTAGCAATTATTCCTGCTTTCCTTACCATGAATCGTTATTCATCGTTAACATTCTGTCTATGTTTGTTTAAGATTCCAATATAGGTACTGTTCATTCCTAGTACCCTTTCTTCTTCTTTACCACATTTTTTTTTTCTTGAAAGATTACAGAACGTACTCGTGACGACGATCTTAATCTCTTAACTGACGCTAATAAACTAGTTTTAGTATTTATACAAAGTGAAGCCATCAAATTTAGTGAAAAAAAAGGAAACCAAGAAGAGGTGATAGAAAAGAGAAAATGAAATAACATGGATTCTTATGCTGATTGAATCAAATATTAAATACTTATAATAAAAACGAAAATCAATTAACCATGATCATTTTCATTACCTCTAATATTGAAACAAATTTTATCTTTTTTTTTTTTTTGTAAAGAAAACGAACAGATTTGGTCTACCAGATCATGAAATTTATAGAACTAATTAATGGACTATGTATAGATTGATATCCTGGTGAAAATAAGAAAATGTTCTGCATGATGTTATAGAGGTCAATTTGTAGGCAATAAATATACTACTAATATATACATATATAGGTTACAAATATTATACGTGATGAGGTATTTTTTTTCTGATACATCATCACGCACTAGAGATTCAAAACAAAAATGTACATTTTCCACTATCTATTCCAGTTTTGAAATGCTAAGCTATAAATGTGGTATATTATTCTCCAGACAAAATCAGAAATAAGGACAAACACGCATGCATGCATGATGCATCGAAGAGAAAAACCTGCACTGTCAACTATGATGAAGCTTAAAACATACGAAAATTAATATGCACGCATATATGTATGTGAGTGGCTCATGCATTATAAACGATGATCATAAGCACTTTCCCTTTTGTTGGAAGGACTCTCTGATTTCAAACTACTATACATATTATGCAGATATGTTATGTTAAAGAGTTTGGCATTGTGGGAGAAGTTCTCATCATGGCAACGAAGAATGTTGGTTTGTTTTTAACTCTCTGTTAGAATGTAGTAAAAAAATGAACAAGTGGATGTGTGAACAGTGATGGCAGAGATTCATGTGAATTGATATATTGTTGGCTGACCCGAATGTATGTATATGGACCCCATCTCAGCTCTCTGTTTGGACCACCTTTTAGTTGAACTACTCAAGTGCCTCCATGCCCCGTTTCCCTCACGCTCCATCCAAGTGCCTCCAACTCCCACTTTCGTCATACTTACGTTATATATTGCATCATCTTTCACACACTCAAATTTATTCCACATATACATATAAATGTAATTACAGATATGTTGCCTTCTTTATCCACTTGTTCTTCTTGTTGAATGTACGTAAAAATCTGTGAAGTTGGTTTGATATTCATTTATAAGTCCCGTATCATTTAAAAAACCAGTGATATATTTTGCAAATGAGAAAAACTGTACTAGCTATTACTTCTTTGATGAATTTGTCTCTTGCAAAGAAGTTAGGATTTTTCGTTTTTATGCTACATTTTAAGTTCCACTTTGAAATGTAAAGCCAATGGGGTAATGACTGGTGATACCTTTTATCCACTAACTTGTTATTTTATGTATATGAAGAATGGTGATGGTAATGATAAATAATGAATTGGTTAAGTGATTAGTGCATTATGGAAATTTAATTATTGGACTATACATTTGTATTGTTGTTTATGATGACGTACTCCCATGGAAAGTTGTAGATTAGAATTGTTTTATGTATGTATAAATGATTAATTATATGAGAAAAAGCGAAAGTTAAAAGTTTGAATGTGATTGTATCATTTGTTTCCTAGCATGTCCCTCTTAATATGCTTTCCATTGTTAAAAGCACAAAAAGGAGGGTAAAATAGTTCAATGAATTAATTTATGTCCAACAGACACATATAATATGCACTAAAATAGAAATGTAAAGTTATGATCTTCAAAAATAGTAAATAACACATCCACAATAATGTTGGGTTGTCCTATGATAAAAGTGAAACTGTGAAAAATGTGTAAATGATGAGAATGATAATTTATAAAGTTTTGATCTTTAATAAAACATATTACACGTGCATACATTATACCTTGCAATGAGACAAAAGAAGAAGAATGATATGGGTTAAATTATAAAGAAGAAAGTTAGAAAAGCAAAGGGTTATGGGTGAATCTCCATTCTCATGTTTTTAAATAATTGAGTAGTGCTTGTGTGGTGTTGCTTTCTGTTTGTCTTCACCACTACCCTTCATGCTGCCAAGCCAACCCTAGAAGAGCTAGGAATCACATGCAAGACAATGGAATATTACTTACTAACCAAACTCTCTTTTAAACAAAATCATTCATTACATTCTTAGACTATGTTTTTTCTTGCTTTTAAATTTGTTTTATGTTTAAAATAATCAAAAAGTGTTCAAAGATTTCATGTGAACTTAGAAAAGTTAACAAATGTATAAGCTCTATAATTATTTTCAAAATCAATATCTCTTTTCTAAGTTTTTAAATAAAAAACATATCAAAAGTTTTTTTTTTCTCTACTTTCAATTTTTTTTTCAAATTCAACTATTGGGCCTAGACCCAATGAATAAAGAAGAGGATCTCTTATATTTGGATATAGGATCTTGCTTACTGCACTCCCATAATTTCTCTCTGCATCCCATAATTAAATTAATCTTCGCTTTACTCTTACACTTATGTTCATTTTCATTTTCGGATTAATTTTTTCAAAAATAAAAACTAATTTGAAAATGTATTCTTGAATACCTAATCGGAAATAAATTTTTAGATTGGACTTTACACAACACAATGTGTTTTTGTATTGACTTTTTTGGAAACACAGGAACATCCATTCTAAAATGAATTTTTGTAAAAGTCAATTCAAAAATATAGTTTGGATGAGTACTCCAGAATTCAACTTCATTTTTATTATATTAATTCAGATTGAGCAATTTGAGTTTATTTGTATAATTTAAGAATAAAAACATATAATTCATTCATAATAATAATAATTACTTAATTTTAATTGTTACAAAAGACTTTCAATAAAGATGATAACACAAAAAAATTAAATAATAAAAAATAAAGTAGCTGAGAAATGGAGGAATAGAAGAGTATTTTAAATATTTCACTTTAAATACGAAGGTGCAAGAAGAAATAAATGGGTGAAGGAAGCAACAGGCTTTGGACAAAACTCCAAACCATGTACCCTATGCATTTTCCCTCATCTTTCTACTTTCAATTTTCTATCACTCGGATTCTTCCTTATACACATTCATGCTCCTAATCTTCCACTGAGTTCTTCATTGTTCATGCTCCTTCCTCTATTTTTTTTTTTACATTCTTTGAAGTATTTCATAAAATATATAATGACAGTCAACTTAACTAAATTAATTGTTTAGCTAAAACTTTGAACATGACAAATTTAAAAATGTATAAATAAACATATTAATTTCGATTTTAGTTAAATAAAATAAAAAGTAAGAATTAAATAAGAAGAAAAAAATATGAAGGATCTGTGTTAATGCTAGAGTGTGAAAAAGTACAGAGAACATTGACTTCATGGAGAATTGAGAAAGAAAAATATGTGCAAGTGTTTTTTTACCTAACTGCTAGAAACAGAAACAGAAGCATCAGTTAATTATCAGCATGGACAAAACTGCATTATGTTCGTCCACCTTTGTGTTGTCACCCTTTCTATTTCTGAAGCACCGCAATACACCCTATTTCAGCTTTCGGTAATTTCTTCTTCTTTCTCTCCAATTTTGCATTTTTACCCTTATTTATTTGGCGTTCATCTTTCATGTTCCTGTGTGTGCAGTGGGACCAACACTCTACATGATAATAGGCGACCCAATTGGCCAAAGCTTTTGTCACTGCGCTCAAAATCTGCACTTGCCCGAGCTCACTCTTTGGAAATAATGGCAGAGGGTTCGAATCGCATAGCCCTTCTCGTGATCGACATGCAGGTACTTGTTTACTTTCCAATGTTATTCCTCGTCTGAGCATGTTCTTGTTGGAGAAATCAAGGTTTCTCTCTCTCTCTCTCTGTCTGCAGAAAGATTTTATAGAAGATGGGGGTCCCATGCTTGTCAAAGGGGGGAAAGAAATTGTCCCAAATGTGATTAAGGCTGTGGATGTTGCTAGGCAGCGTGGAATTCTCGTTGTTTGGGTAATAACATTATTTCGCTGTTGTTCCTTGTCTATGGGTAATGGAAGGTGGGGATAATGTTCCAAATGTAAACCTATGTTTTTCTTTCAATGAATTTAAACAAGTTTTAATATGAAATGCAAACCTCCTTGCTTAGTCAAGTTGCTTGGGAAAGTAGAGTTTAATGAAGATATACTATTGTTATCCATCAATCAGAAATCATCATTGGTATGACTTTTAAGATATTTATTATAAAATCAATAAAATTGTCATACATAACAATCTATGATCAGATGATAGTGTAAAGAATTCAGAGTAAGTGCATATATTGTTTATTCAGAGAAGTATTGCTCAATGTTAGGGAAAGAATGTAAGAATGTATACAATTAATTTTCTTTTACTCTTCATAATTCCTTAGGCTCTTGATTTTTAGATTTTACTTATATATATCTTGATATGTACACCGCATGTTGGATCAGATGTTTGTTTTTTGTTTGTCTTCTTGAATTTGAAGAGACCAGTTTCTCTCTTTGCCTATGTCTTCTAAGAAACTACTCATGGTGTCATGGCAAAGGTGTTTTCCCCGGGTAATAATACTCGGTATATTTTTAGCAATCTGAAGCGTGGAAATGTAAATCATTCAATATTCACTATCCAGAGATCTTGATCTGTTGGCATTCAAGAAAATAGTTATCTAATTGTTAAGTTCTATTTCTCAACACTGTTTCAGGTAGTACGGGAACATGATCCCTTAGGAAGAGATGTTGAGCTCTTTCGCCGGCATCTCTATGCTGCAGGGAAAGTTGGTCCAACCTGTAAGGGAAGTGAAGGTGCAGAATTAGTTGATGGACTGGTAATCAAAGAAGGGGACTATAAACTAGTGAAAACCAGGTTCAGTGCATTCTTTCATACACATCTTCATTCACTTCTTCAAGGGGCAGGAATTAATAGTCTGGTAATCACTGGTGAGTAATAGTAGTTGTAATACACCATGTTAGCTTACTTTGAGTTTCATGTTAATGTGTTGACTTGATTTAGTTTAATCTGTAGGTGTTCAAACTCCTAACTGTATCAGACAAACTGTCTATGATGCTGTAGCACTGGACTATCAACCGGTAACTGTCATTATTGATGCTACAGCAGCAGCCACACCTGATATTCATCACGGTAATGATAATGTCTTTGTTTTTAATTTTTTTCTTTGTTGTCCCTGGAATTGTATCTTTTAGTTGCACAACATTATTCACTCATATCTTTTGTGGGTATGTTCTTATATTCTACATGCCCTCAAAGCAGGTAGCTTTTTCTTGTTTTCACAAAATCTGATCAAATTTCATTTGATGGCAAGGCAATGATATATTGATGACCAATATTTTGGTGGTTTCAGCCAATTTGTTTGACATGAAAAATATTGGAGTTGCAACCCCAACATTACAAGAATGGAGTGAACTCAAAGCTTGATCTGCATGAACCATGCTACTGTAACACTCTGGTGTTCAATTCCAAGACTAAAGGTGTTGATGTCTTTGGCTGTGTTGTGTACAGTGAAGCAAACCTGTGTTACTGTGTATGCATGCTGGATGATAAAATTATTTACATGACTATGTTTATTTTAGTACTTACTTCTCTTGTGTCCATTATTACATATTTGTCTTGTTTAATGCACTCCAATTTAGAAAATTCCTTGTTTCTAAACTAAGCTCAAAACCCTTTTCAATGTATTCTTCAAAATTATGATCATCTGGGCAACCCAACTGCATTTTCACTCTACAGATTGGCACCCAAATGTTTGGGGCAAAAACCTCCTTGGATTCCTTAGAAGTTAATATCAAGTGAATTCTTTTATTATAAGAAAAAATAAAATTAAAGGATACCATCATTGGTTTTCTTTAGAGAATAAATTGATTGATAATGTATTTGCCACTTTACTAATTTTAGAAACCAATTTGACAAATTATTACAATTTCAGAACTCAATTGGTAATTCACACTTGTAACTATTGTGCCCAAAAAATGTTCTATAAATTTACTGTACAAAAATTCTTGTGGCACTAAAGCATTTCTATTCCTACCAATATTTAGATGCGAATTGTAACAAAAACAAAAGTAAAGTGCGAGATTAATTATTAACAAAATATTATCATACAATAGAAGTACATAAAACGTAATATTAGCAATGATATAAAATATTTTCCTTATACATAATAATCACGACACCATCCATAACTAGGATAAAATTATTGTTGAGAGTGGGATTTGAACCCACGCCCTTTCGGACCAGAACCTTAATCTGGCGCCTTAGACCAACTCGGCCATCTCAACTTTGTGATTATATGAGTCGTTTAAAATTGTAATATTTAAATATTTTCAATTTATAGAATCTTTGAATAACGAGTATTTTGTAGCATATTGTACACATTTATAGAACAGGAGTCAAATATTATATACGTCAAAATGTTAATCAAACGCTAATCCTTTTCGTTTTTATAATTTTTTTCATATATTAAAAATATGAATTCAGGAAAAAAAAATACATAAAAAATAAAAACCTATGTAATTTTAATTTTACTAATTAAAAAAAGTTAAAAATGCAAAACAGATTAGTCCGTCCTCATTTTTTTACCGTTAAAAATATTTGGGACGGATTGATTTATCGTAATTTTTTTAAAATTAATTTTTTATTTCTTTTAAATGAAATTTTTTAATAAATTTTATAATAATATTATTATTTATTTATTAACTATTCATAATATATATTACAACTGAATAATATAAATTTACATATTGTATTAGAAAACTATAATTTAAAAATAAATCAAATTAAGATAAAATTTATGTAATAATAAATATTATTAGAAAATTATAATTTAAAAATAAATTGAATTAAGGTAAAATTTATATAATAATAAATAATAACAAATATATATATATATATATATATGTTAAATTTTGTAAAATCTTTAATTTTTTATTGAAATTTTTTTAAAAATCTAAAAGAAAAATTATATATATATATATATATATATATATTTATTTGATAAAACTTTATGTTATTAAATAATTTGTACATATTTAACTCATAATATAAGAAGATGAATAAAGAAAAAATGATGAATAAGGAGAAAACGAGAATGGGGAGAAAGAATAATGTTTCTCTTAAGGAGGGAAACTTTTTGAATTATTTTTTTACAAATTTTTATAATATATTATAATAAGAATAATTTTTGTTGTTGGTGTGCCTGGTTTCATAGGTTAACCCAACCAGTTAGAGGACTTGACGGGTCATAATGGTGGTTGGCAAGTTTTACCATCCTTAAAAAAATCATTTATAAAATAAAACTAATAAATGGTTGGACCTAGCAATGACCAAGTAGTTAAAAAATTTAATTTTATTAGCGTTGTATTTAAAGCATGTGTATCCCACCGGAATCCTTTTTGGTTGAAATAAAAATTATGATACTTAAGATTCATGAATCAATTAATACAAAACTAATGTTTCAAAAATTTTTTGATCTAAACAAATAATGCACAAAAGGTTAAGTTTAGTGATATTTAATTATTTATATAATTGAATGTTTAGTTCATATGATAAGATACAACATCTAGAAAAGGAGTCTCAGTTTTAATTTTTAATTTCTTATAAATTAAAAATTTTAAATACATATTGATTAAATAAACATTCAATCGTGCATCACCTTTTCGGGTGTCGGTGGCTGGTCTCAAATTCACAATCTATCAAATAAAATATTGTAAAAAATATGTTTTTCTTCTTATTTAATTATCTTATAAGTGTATACAAAAAAAATTATATAAACAGGTTTTATCAGTACTCCAAACTCCAAGTACCATTTCTGAAATTGAGTTTCTTATTGTTCTTCTTTTTACCATTTTGGAGTTGAGTTGAGCCTTCGGAACACAGATGGCAGAGGATTGGAAGCGCACAGCCCTTCTTGTCATCGACATGCAGGTACTTAGTTACCTAGATCTTCAAAGTTGTTGTTCATGAATTCACTTTCATGTATTCAAGTTTTTTAATTTACCCCAAAAACTAATACCAACATTTTGTTGTTATTATCATGTTAAGACTAACAGTAACATTTCTTGTGGTGCTGCAGAAAGATTTTATAGAAGATTGGAGTCCTGTGGCACTAAAACCAGCGAAAGACATTGTTCCAAATGTGGTTAAGACAGTGGAAGTTGCCAGAGAGCGTGGCATGCTCATAGTTTGGGTAATAATAACATTCTTTCTCAATCATTGGTTATCTGATCTTTTTTAGTTGCTGTTACCAGATTCCCAGGCTGATCAATCTTTATCTTGTTTCTTTCGAGTAATTCTGAGTTATTACCAGGAGAAGAGAAAATAATGTCAAAAAACTCTTTAATGTGTTTAAGTTGAAGAATGTTGTGAGAATGTTTTCAGGTTGTACGAGAACACGATCACTTAGGAAGAGATGTTGAGCTTTTTCGTCGGCATTATTATACAGAGCGGAAATTTAAAACAGCATGTAAAGGAAGTGAAGGTGCAGAATTAGTAGATGGGTTGGTAATTAAAGAAGAAGATTATAAGCTTGTGAAGACCAGGTTCAGTGCATTCTTTGCTACACACCTTCATTCAGTTCTTCAAGCAGCAGGAATTCATAATCTGGTGATCACTGGTGAGTGTAATGCTTATTAATTACTTACAGTTTTATCTTTGTATATTGAGTTCATATAACTGATTTATTGTAATTGCAGGAATTCAAACTCCAAATTGTATCAGGCAAACTGTGTTTGATGCTGTAGCATTGGACTATCCACATGTGACTGTCATCGTTGATGCTACTACTGCAGCCACACCTGATGTTCATCAAGGTATGTTTGTTTTTTGGTAATAAGAAAAGAAAAACTTGATTTAGCAACACCTCAAATATTGATTAGATTAAAGTATTGTAAAGAGTAAAGACAGAATTTCTGAGATGATGCGGAAACATTTTGGATGGTTTCAGCGAATTTGTTTGACATGGAAAATATTGGAGTTGCAACGCCAACATTACAAGAGTGGAGAGAAGGCAAGGCTTGATATGGAGCATGCAACTTTTCAATTTCATAGGTGTCGGTTGATCCGTCAGTAATGTTAAATCGAAACGTGAAGTTACGTAATACGATTGGTCTTGTTATGGACATTTACGTGTATTATTTGTAATCTTCGTTTGGAAATGTTGTGATACTCGTGTTGCCTCACAATAATAATCTTTTCATCTTTAAAACTAATTTGAAATTGTTCGTGAAAAAGCATATGAAGGGGAAATTTTTTTTTTTATCATACCCATTATATTTTTTTAATGTTTAAGTTTATCACTATTAATCGTTATTATTTTAATAACTCTAAAATATTGATTTTGATATCAAATATATATATATATAATTAAGATATTAGAAAATTAAAATATTTAGAATTATATCAAATCATAATAAAATAATAAAAAAGTTGGAACTGATTACCCAACCTGTTTAATCAAACATGAATATTAATTTTGAATGTAGAACTAATTTTACTTTTATAAATATAATGGGTTAAAAGTGAGAAAAAAAAAACTTTTCTTTGTTGGCATCAAAAAAAGAAAAAAATTTATAAATTTTTTTATTTATTTGAAACTTATTTTAACCAAAATTTAATTGCATAAATTGAAAAATTCTAAAATTAAGGAGGAAACTAATCCAAATACATATAAAAATGTTAAAATCTAAGAAGGAGATTTTAGAAGTGAAATATAAGTGGGAATATTTTTAAGTAGAGATAAAAAAATTGAATAATATATAAATTCAAAAATTTGTAGACACAAGATTTTGAATTAAAAATAATATTTTATTTTATTATATGCTAAACTCGTATTTCTTTTATGAATATTTATTGATTAATAAATCTAAATCTAATATTTTAAAGTTTTAAAATAAAAATGTAATTCACCTAAAAAATGTCCAACATTAATAAAATTTCTTAATTTACTTGACAAGATCTTTAAATTTTTTATAAATTGATGAAGTTCTTCTTTAAAAGATAAAAAATAATTAATATTAAATATGGGGAAGCCAGAAAGGGTGATGTGCCTTGTGTTTGGTTTCGAATATAAATATTATATATGATTTCTTACATGTTTTTTATGCTCTTCTCTTAATAGAAATAAAGTGTGTTATTGAAAAAAAAAAATACTCCAATTGTTGGAGAATATAGACAAAAGCTTTAAGAATTGCATTAATATTTTTCTTTTTTACTGAATGTTCATGTTTAATGTTTAACACAGATTTCTATTAGTTATTTTTAATGAAAATGCTCTTAATTATAAATATTTTTCTAAATTTAATAAATAACAAATAAAATGTATTAATATATTAGACTCTGTAATAGTCTAAATATAAAGTTTAAATAAGTTTGAAAGTATTCTAAATATATGTTTGATTTTTTTTAAGTATTTAATAAAATATTTATTTAAATTGAGTATCTAATAAATTAATTATTTTTTACCTTTATTTATGTGTCTGTTAAATTGTTTCAATTATGACATAATTTTGAATATTTAAGAATATATTAAAATTACTGGAAATTTATTATTATTATTATTATTATTATTATTATTATTATTATTATGTTTTTTGAAATATTTTTAAAATAACAGTGTTAAATAAAGTTACTTACTTATTCGATTAAAATAACTATGTTTTCTATGCAAGAAATCAAATAACGAAACAATTTCTAAAGTTCGTGGATACCAAAAAGTTTATTTGAATTTGCATATATTCGAATATAATAATATTGATAAATCTTAAGGTTATCAATATAATTTACTCAATATTTATATCTCTTTCATTTTCTTTATTTATTGTAAAGAAAAATTTAAACATATTTCATGAACTGAAACCAAAATAAATATCAATAAATATTTTATTTGAAGGATTTAAATAAAAAATTAATTTAGTAGATATATAATTTAAAACAAAAAACTATTGGGTATTAAAGAAATAAATATATTAAGAACTTAAAATTTATTTAATTCTATATAAAATACATTTTTAAAACTTATCTTCACTATTTACAATTGTAGCAAAAGATTGAAACTAAAAGAAATCTAAAAAATATATTACATGTTATTAATATTAAAATTGTATGTATAAATTTAAGAAAAATTTAACGTAAATACATGTATTAACTAATTTTCTGATATTGGCAAATTAGTTAATCACTAAGATTATATTTGAAACCATTGGCGACATCACTCACAATGTGAAGAAGCCTTTGATGATGGGAGAACAAAAGAGAGTGTTTGTTGACCGTTGACTATTGAGGGTCTGATAGAAGGTAGCTAGTTAACTAACAGTGGCAGATCAATGGAGAAGGAGGTTGAGCTTTGTTCAGTTCAACCCCAAATGGCTTCTCACCGCATTTTTCAACTCCAGAGGCGTGGAAAGGGAGGCCTCGTTACCATGCCTTTCATCATAGGTTTGTGTTCTGTTGTTGTGTCTCTCAACTCCACCTCGGACTATGTTTTCTCAGATCTTGTTTTGTTTTATGTTATTGATGTTTTGTGTGTTGTTGACTTGATGGCATGAATGGCAGCAAATGAAGCACTTGCGAGAGTCGCAACCTTGGGGCTTCTGCCCAATATGATATTGTATTTGATGGGAAATTACAATCTTCATTTGGCCGAAGCTACCCAGATACTCCTCTTATCCGTTGCAACCACCAATCTCATGCCTCTTCCTGGCGCCTTCATTGCTGATTCTTATCTGGGTCGCTTCCTCGCTGTTGGTTTAGGTTCCTTCATCACTTTCCTGGTGGGTATTAGCTGTTGTTCCTTTTCCCTCATCCCAATAACCATCTCATGCCATTCTCAATGATACTCTAATTTGCTTCACCTATCTATCCTATGTGTATTTGATACCGATATTTTTGGATTTTTCTCTCATAAGTATCTATTAACCTTTGAAAGAAGTTATGAAAATCAAATAAGCTACATATGAGACATAGAAGCATGTATAATACAGAAACATGAAAGCATTGTCCTTGATGTACTAGACATGGAAATTGTCCCTTTTATAGATGATTTCAAGAAAAGAATGAGATTGAGACTATTTATATTTGTAGACAGTTGGAAGTGATATCTTTGATATAATAATTTATAGTTTTATTCTAGTTTTAGTAAATGTCTAAGAAGTATGTTCTTAAGTTTGCAATATTGCAATTATATTTTTATGTTTCATGATTTTTATATCCATATTTAGAAGTTATTTTATATATCTATAGCATCACATTGTAGAATAATCGTATCGATATGAATCGTATCAGATACACAGTCGTGTTTGTGCTTTTTAGTCTAAATTCAACTTCTAAAATTTCATTAAGAAGACATGGTTGTGGTTATTTGGAAAATGAGGAAATATTTGGAATGTTTCATTATGACTTTAATATTATTTTCACTCCTAATAACAGGGAATGACACTCCTGTGGTTAACAGCAATGATCCCAGAGGCTCGGCCTCCTCATTGCAATTCTGAAACTGAAAGATGTGTATCCGCGACATCTGGGCAAATGGCAATGTTAATCTCTTCCCTTGCTCTCATGTCCATCGGAAATGGTGGCCTGTCATGTTCCCTGGCCTTTGGTGCTGACCAGGTGAATAGAAAAGATAACCCCAATAATCAAAGGGCCTTGGAGATATACTTCAGCTGGTACTATGCTTCCTCCGCGATATCAGTCATAATTGCCTTCACTGGAATTGTGTATATCCAAGATCATCTTGGATGGAAATTGGGTTTTGGAATTCCAGCAGCACTTATGTTCTTGTCCACGTTTCTGTTCGTTCTGGCTTCTCCACTTTATGTAAAGAATAAAACACACAGCAGCTTGCTCACTGGCTTTGCACGTGTCGTTGTTGTAGCCTATAAGAACAGGAAACTAAGATTACCACATAAGATCTCAGATGGAATGTATCATCATAACAAGGACTCTGATCTAGTTGTTCCAACTGATAAACTAAGGTTGAATCACATACTCACACTACCGTCATTGTTATCTTTTGCTTACACACCGTATGAAATAGTAATAAACTTGTGATGTTGTGTTTTCTTCCAGGTTTCTGAATAAAGCTTGCTTCATTAAGGACCCAGAAAAAAATCTAGGCTCTGATGGGTCAGCCTCGAACCCATGGAGTCTCTGCACAGTTGATCAAGTAGAAGAACTAAAAGCCATTGTAAAAGTTATTCCCCTGTGGTCTACGGGGATCACGATGTATCTTCACATTGGAGGCTCATTTGGATTGCTGCAAGCTAAATCCCTTAACAGACATATCACTCCAAATTTTGAAGTTCCAGCTGGATCTTTGATCGTAATCATGATATTTACAATTTTTATTTGGATAGCTCTTTATGATCGTGTCATTATTCCTCTAGCATCAAAACTCAGAGGCAAACCAATTAAGATCAGTTCAAAGACAAGAATGGGTCTTGGGTTGTTTTTCTCCTTTCTCCACTTGGTAACTGCAGCAATTGTTGAGACTACAAGGAGAAGGAGAGCAATTAGTGAGGGACATGTTAATGACACACAAGCAGTGTTGAATATGTCTGCAATGTGGCTGTTTCCTCAACTTTGCTTGGGTGGCATAGCTGAAGCATTCAATGCAGTAGGCCAAAATGAGTTTTATTACACTGAGTTTCCGAAGACTATGTCAAGCATTGCTTCTTCCTTTTCTGGACTGGGAATGGCTGTAGGATATGTGCTTTCTTCTTTACTATTCACTGTTGTGGAAAAGGTTACTTCAAGAGGGGGAAAGGATGGATGGATCTCAGATAACATTAACAAGGGTCATTTTGACAAGTACTACTGGGTTCTTGTCACATTCAGTGCTGTTAATTTACTGTATTATCTAGTATGCAGTTGGGCTTATGGACCCACTGCTGATCAAGAATCAAAGTTAACTGAAGAAAATGGTTCCAATGAGGAAGAATTACCACTAATTGGAGCCAGGACTGATGGTCCATTTGATAAGGTATCACAGGTTAGTGAAGAAATTTTAAGAACTTCACATAAAACTTTAACGGATTGAGATAAATTTTAGTGATTCCAATTAATAAGAATGCTAGCGTTTTCAACAACTAAGATAAACAAAATTATTGGGCAACTGAAACCATTAGCGGATTTTGTACGAGGTAGTGCTTCATATGGTTTGACAAAATTCTTCTAGTTATAAAGGAATATTGTAGTTACTGAATTATTTCATTTTGCTGCATTCTGAACGTCTGATTTGTACATTCTCAGACATTTACAGATTATGTTCTGCAATAAAACTGGCAGAAAAGTTAACAGAAACTTGAAAGCTTATTTTATAGTTGAAAAACTAAATTATCAAGTTTCCAGCATGGGTAGGATTTGGTTCATTCTATGACATGATATACATTACAACAAATGTTTCTTTGTATTTTATTTACGAAAATTCCAATGATTTTTGCTTGTGGTATTCTTGTTTCAATCATATCTTAAATGGAGGAATCTTTCTTCTGCAAGTTCTGTCTTGACTTTCATTTATTTATGAGCTTGATGGGTAGTTTTTAAGATCTTGTCAATAATAATGACATAAGCAATTAATATGAATTGAAATTTCAGAATTCATATAATGGCTCTCATGAATCAATAAATATAAATTTTTTGGAAATAGAAATTTAAAATAATATATATATTTAAAAGTTTTTTTAAATAGTTTAATTAATTACACATAAGACCATTGAAAATTGATGGCATTTAATATGGGTGTTAAAAATTAAATGGATAAAATATATCTAAAGGCAATTAACACTAGATTGTATTAAACTTTTTGAATTTATTATTTCTTAAAACCACATTATTTATTTTAAATTTTGAATTCAAAAAATAAAAATTGAATTAAATTATTTATTATACTTAAAGTCAATTATACTAATAAAAATAAATATGTTTTTGAAAAATAATTTATTATTTAATTGTATTTTGTTTACAATATATTTATATTTATAAAAACATGATAATAATTTTATGTTATTATTTTTAATTATAAAATTATATAATTTATTTATAAACATAAGAAAAGGTGAAATTATAAATCTAATGATAATAATAGAATTAAATTTCGTAATATATCTTTATTCTTTGACAAATATTTACAATAAAAATATTAAAAAATTTACAATAAAAAAATATCTAAATTGAATTATAAATATTAATTTTATTTATTAAGATTCTATGTTAAATTAAAATTAAATTAGATTATATTTAATTTTTTTAATCTAAGTAATTATTTAATCAAAAATAAAAAAAACGAAAACATCTGTAATAATTAATTATACTTTAAATAAATTAAAATAAATTAAAAATCAAGTTATTTACCTTAGTAAACAAGTTAATTCGATAATTTTCAGTTATGAAATGGTATCTTATATAATTTGTTTCATATGGTATATGCTTCAATGCATTTATTCGGATTTAAGTAACGAATAAATAAATTATAATTTAATATCTTAGAATTCTGACATAAAAAATAATATGATATTTTTTTATATAAATTACCAGTTAAAAATATTATTTTAAGATTAAATATTTATAATGTTTTTTACTTTTCCTTTTTCTCATATGGCATTTTAAATATATATAAAAGATATTGTTATTTTAAGACAATATTTTTATTATTTAAAAAAATATATATTTAAAATTTATTATATATTTTATATTATAAAAATATTATTTTATTAAATTTATTTGAATTTATTTCAATCCTCCTCCCTATACTTATTTATCCAAACATTTATCTTCTTATCAGAAGACTTTAATTAAAAGTAGAATGGCTTGATATCATTCATAGACTTATAAAACATAAAACTTGCAGAGGTGTGTTTTCTTTTTGAGTCTTTTTTCCAACGAATATTCTTCTCTTCTAGTTAATTTCCAGAAAAACATGACACTAGTGAACACTAATCATCATCATGTTCTTATTCCATGGATTTTTCATTTTTAGGATCTTTGTCTTGCCACAAGTGTTGGTCTTGTATGGTATATCAGTGGATGTGGATGTGGATGCTTTCTGAAAAGAGCATGTCAGAGACAACATGACTATGACCTTCATCTTCCTCTTTTCTCAAATTTTGCTTTCTAAAAGTTTTGATCAAACCGAATTTTCAACGTCTTCCCCTTTTGCAAGAAAACAATGACATTATTGATTGAGAAAACAATATAAATTTGTAAAGGATTTTGTTAACTTAAGATCACCATTTTTTATATTAGTTTTTTTCATTATCATGTTTTATTATAAATATTCTGTTACAAATCTCATATTATTTAAGAATTAAAATTAAGATAATTTATATATAATTTTAAATGTATTAATTTTTTTAAATAAAATTGTTTTAAATTAAAATTTTAAAATAAATAATATTCTGAAATATAATAATTAATTATAATAATATTATTATAAGAGACAGAGAAGTAAGACATTCTCTGATCAATTCAAACATAATTAACTAATCTTTTAAGTTTATTGAGAAAAAAATAATTTATATATAATTATTCAAATTGGTGATATTTTTTAACTGAATTATTTGGATTTAAAATTTTATAATTACATCTAGTAAATTATATTAAAAAAATATTTATTTTGTATCTTTAATGTCTTTTAAGAATGTAAGCACTCTTTTTATTTTTATTTTTAAAAATTAGTTTTAAAAAACTTGCTTAGAATAAATTAAAGTAAAAACTTTAATTGATAACTTTCGTTTAAAAAATATTTTCGATGAAATAATAGTAATACCAATCACAAGAGAAGTTGAAGAGTTAGTTTAAAGAAAAATTAGAAACTATTTAAACAAAATAATTATCAAGCATTTCTTTTTTTAGTTTTTAAAAACTATAAAGGTGAAAACTATCATTAAAAAAGTAAAAAAAAATCTTTAATTTTTTTAAGAGTTAATATAATTTTAAAAATATATAACTAAAAACTAAGTAATGATTATCTTCAACAAAAATTAAATTTAAATATTATACCAATAATTAAACCTTGAATTTGTTAGTCATATTTTTCATGTGAATAATGTGGTTTTGTATTCTTTAAGATACAATGCATGTTGAGGATAAGGGGCCCAATGTAAGGCACACAAAATTTGGCCTTTAAAATGGATAGCAGAGAAGAAATTAAAGATGAAATGATAACAAGATTCCAAAACGCCAGCTAGATTACAAACTTCCTTTCATGTCTTTTTCACAAAGTTTTAGGTCAAGTAGGTTTCTTCTTTTTCTCACTATTTTAATATTTATGAATCACTTTTGCAGAAGCAACCATTTTTAAAAATAAATAAATGATTCATTGAATTGGTGACATTGGGGAGAAACTAATTCATGGATGAGTTTAGTTTAAAGTAATTGATAATTGATGATTGAGGGAGAAAGAAAAACTTCATGTAACTGATTATTGTTTACCAAAACTTGCTTTTTAATAAACATCAAAATAGATTCTTTTACACTTCGCACTGAATTAGAGGTATAAAATAATTAGTGAATTAAAAAGGGTAATATTTTTTATCAAGAAAAAGATTCTTATTTATTTTATACGATCAAAAGTATACGAGTGACTGTTTTTATAATTCTTAGTGAATGTAACAAAATTCATGCTACTTAATTGATTAAAACCAGAAGAATCCTAATTTGATAGTTAGTTTCTAGGAGTACTCTAATTAGTAAATCAGCATACACATTTGCTTTAATTATTAGCATTTGGGAGAAAAAAATACATATATGGTAAAAAAAGTGATGCATAATGTAACTGATTCATTCATGTGTGAACAACAACGCATACATTGTAAATACCGCGTGACAGTGATAGCATAGAAAATGTTTCCTGTAATTAATATGTTGTAACAGAGACACACACATGGTACGTTCAACATCTTGCAAGTTCTGACATCTTTATCTGCTGCATGAAGAGTGGTGTTAAGAGCTCCCAAACTGCTGTGATTTCTTTGTTTGCATAATGAAGGAGGCAAAAATGGAGAAGCAAGAGGAGCTTTGTTCAAGTGAAGTTCAAATGGCTTCTCAACACATTCCTCAACCACAAACGGAAAAGGGTGGTTTTGTTACCCTGCCTTTCATCATAGGTAAACTTTGTTCTGTTTCACATCATAAAGGAAACATGGACTTGGTTTTGTTCCTGCAGATTGTGCTTTGGTGATGGATTCTCATTCTTTATGGTTTTGGTGTTGTTGCAGGAAATGAAGCACTTACAAGAGTTGCAATAATTGGTCTTTTGCCAAACATGGTATTGTATCTGATGGGGAGTTTCAAGTTCCATTTAGCCAAAGCAACCCAAGTGCTTCTATTGTCCTCTGCCACAAGCAATATCACACCACTCATAGGTGCTTTCCTTGCTGATTCTTGCTTGGGTCGATTCCTCTCTATTGGGTTAGGATCCACCATCACTTTCCTGGTACTTTTCAGATTCCTTTATGTATTTTCTCTTCTGAATTCACAATTGTAGTCTTCAGTCTAAGGCCTTTACTTGTGCTTCTTTTCTAATAGTGTTTCTGGTCCTTTTCCAATCCAATTATTCTCAAAAGTAGTAATAAGGAAAATTCAATAAATTGTTGAGTAATGTGAAACAAAATGCACCGAAAACATTGACTTCTCATGCCACAAAACTGGCTTTATGCACCTTTCTTCATTGTTGCTATCGCTAAGTAAGCTTTGCTCTGCAGGGAAGTGTTTACTTATTTTCTGGCTTTATGCACTTTACAGTTCTAAAAAAACAAACTAATAATTGGAAAATGTTTCTTGTTTTCTTCATTGTTGCAGTCTTTCGGTAAGCTTTGTTCTCAGGTAGGTGGTTACTTTTGTTTGTATAATAATGATGAAATATATTTTATTGATGAAAGTAACTAATTTTTTTCTATTTTTTCTGTCGGCGGAGGGAGGATTTTCTGAGATAACTAACTAATATGAAGTTGGTAACTTTTTCTTTAACTGTTAATAAGTACTACTATTGGGGCTGCTTTACAGGTGCGGATACCCCCAAATTCGTGATGCAACAGCCGAAATAGTCGTGGCGTACCATTTTTTTAAAACCATTTACACATTTGATTACATCCTGTTGATTGAATATAAGAACCCTTGATTTTGTTGGCGTCTTTGGGAAAGTGTACCATAATCCTTTGGAGATATGACAAAGGGAAAACAGCCATCTAAGGTCCTTGGCGTCTGAATAATATATAGATCCATAAGGAAGAAAAAAAAAAACAAAGTAAGAAATTAAGAAACATTTGAACATTAGCTACGGGGAAAACTCATTGGTTATTAGAATGATCTGTTTTGTCACTTGCACTTAGTTCCAGTCTAAGAGTTTTAAGTTGTACATGATCTGAGATTTGTTTACTCCTGTTGAGTTTACTGATGAAACAGGAAGGAATAGTGCAACTTTATTAGAGACAAGATTTTACTTTGTATATATAATATTGAAGTGTTAGATCGAGGATTATTCCACAGGACTTCAATAACTACATGATCTTTTCAACGTAAAAGAGACCTATATGGAGATAAATAAACTATCCTGATGTATGAAATATAAGGCTACATTAATATGGTATATTTTTAATGCAAACCTGTTGCACATTCTTTTCTATTTTGTGTAAAACTCGGTCACATTTGAGGGTTACAAGACATTCAAAACAGTCAAGTTAAAATGAGTTGATTTTATTAAAACTTGTTTTATTCTTTTAACAGGGAATGTCACTCTTGTGGCTGACAGCCATGATTCCACAAGCTCGGCCTCCTCCTTGCAACCCTGCAGCTGAAATATGTAAATCAGCAACAACTGGGCAAATGACAATGTTAATCTCTTCCTTTGCTCTAATGTCAATCGGAAATGGTGGCCTTTCATGCTCCATGCCATTTGGTGCAGACCAGGTCAACAAAAAAGATAACCCCAACAACCAGAGGGTCTTGGAAACATTTTTCAGCTGGTATTATGCTTTTATAGCTTTTGCTATCATAATAGCCCTCACAGTCATAGTATATATCCAAGATCAATTTGGATGGAAAGTGGGTTTTGGAGTTCCAGCAGCACTTATGTTCATGTCCATTTTCTTCTTTTTCCTTGCTTCTCCACTTTATGTAAAGAATAAAGTGCTAGGCAGCTTAATCACTGGCCTTGCACAAGTAATTGTTGTGGCTTATAAGAACCGGAAGCTTCCTTTACCACCTAGGAACTCAGTTGAAGTGTACCATCGTAGGAAGGACTCTGATCTTCTTGTTCCTGCTGATAAACTAAGGTTGATCACACTATCATTATTATCATGTTCTGTTGTGCTTATTAACTGAATCAAAAGATTATGAACATCTTGCAATGCTTTGTTTTCTAGGTTTCTGAATAAAGCTTGCATTATTCAAGATCCAGAAAAAGATATAGCCTCTGATGGATCAGCCTCAAATCCGTGGAGTCTCTGCACAATAGATCAAGTAGAAGAACTAAAAGCTATTATTAAAGTTATTCCACTGTGGTCTACTGGGATCATGGTGTCAGTTAACATTGGAGGCTCTTTCGGGATACTGCAAGCTAAGTCCCTCAACAGGCATATCACTTCACACTTTCAAGTTCCTGCAGGTTCTTTTTCAGTAGTCTTGGTGATTACAATATTTATATGGGTAGCTCTTTATGATCGTGTCATTATTCCTCTAGCATCAAAGCTCATAGGCAAACCGGTTAGGATCAGTGCTAAGAGAAGAATGGGAATTGGGTTGGTTTTCGCTTTACTCCACTTTGCAACAGCAGCTATTGTGGAGACTACAAGGCGAAGGAGAGCAATCACGGAGGGACATATTAATGACACACATGCAGTGTTGAATATGTCTGGAATGTGGCTTGTTCCTCAACTTTTTTTCGCAGGCATGGCTGAAGCATTCAATGCCATAGGCCAAAATGAATTCTATTACACAGAGTTTCCTAAAACTATGTCAAGTATTGCCTCTTGCCTTTTTGGACTTGGAGTAGCTGCAGGAAACATTTTATCTAGTTTGATATTCAGCATTGTGGAACATGTTACTTCAAGAGGAGGAAAGGAGGGATGGGTTTTAGATAATATCAACAAGGGTCGTTATGACAAGTACTACTGGGTTCTTGCTCTTCTGAATGCTGTTAATATACTGTGTTATCTAGTATTCAGTTGGGCTTATGGACCCACAGCCGATCAACTATCCAAGTTGTCTGATGAAATTAGTACAAATGAGAAACTATGAACTCAATATGGCATTGTGAGCAAGACATCCCATGTTAGTGAAGATATTGGCTTAAATGTGAAAAGAGTGAACTAGATTTGACAAGGAATAATGGGGGGCCTATTGAAAAGGTATTCAAGGTTAGTGAAAACAATGATTCAGAGGAGGAAAAGTTAACTGAAGTACCTACAGGTTCATGATCAAAAGGAAAATGATGGATCTATGCTGGAAGAACCGATGATTGACCAGTTGAGATGTCAAGCTTTGTAGGAAAATACACCACTTGATAGCCATATTTATATTTTTCATGTTTTCATATGTAGTAGTTGCAGATATAACAGCTATTAATGTTTGTATAAACTGTATTGGTATGTCTAGTAAAATTGTTATTCAAACACTTTGCAAAACGATGAAATTTTTTCTGGGAGTACTCTCTCGGTGATCTTGAAAGATAAAGATAATTAAAACCACAGATGAAACATGACTTTTCAAGTATACTCTGATGAATTTCCAAATGACTGGGGGGCCTCCGGTGGCCAGAATAGCCCTGTACCTAATTATCCTTTCCATCGACAATATCCTTCCACGAGATTCCAAATACAATTGATCCATTGGCTCACAAAACTAGAAATTATTCACTTTAACTTCAGTACTAAAGGAAAACAATAGTTGTTATATTATGACTAGACTATGTGTGCAACTTGTGCACAATCTATATCCGTCTAATGACATGTTTTGCAGCATGGTTAATTGCAATCTAAGTTCATGTTGAGCAATACATAACTAGTTATAGTATGTAAGAGGAGTCATAAATAAGGAGTTGATTGATCTGATCTGATCAATGAAATAGCTAGAACATGTCAATTTAATTAAGATTGATTGAAACGGTTTCCTTTCACATGGCAGGAGCAAAGCAGAGCCTCCATTAACAAAAAATATAAAGAAAGCACTGAATGTATTTGTCTGTGATCTTGTATTAAAACACCAAAATAAAACCAAAATAGTTAGAGTTTACTCGTTTGTTTTGAATTCTTTCTAGCTACTGCCATCCACAGCTTTCCTAGAGCAACCAATTCTCCATTCTGCTTTTTCCTGACTTCTACAATCACAGAAGTCAAATCATCCATCTCTCCTACAACCTTTGCCTCTATTTCTACCTCTTCCTATTGTTGGTAGAATTAATGAATGCACTAGTGAGTGAAACAAATATCACAAAAACCAAAGATATTGAAATGTGAACATGAAGAGAAGACTACCTGAACCTTTGCCGTTGAGTAGTATGAGATACTTAAGTCAAGAGTGACCTGGTGACATGAGGTAGCGGTGTAAGAGGCAAAACTTGCAATCATGTCAACTAATGTTGCCATTGCACTGACATCCCAGTGTCCACTTTTATCCTGTAGACATAAAAGCAAGAATTGTCATGGATACAGATAACCAGAAAAAGTCTTAAAATGAAACGGAAAGATAAATGCTTCAAGTCAGACGGAAATCAGATGATTATTAATTTATTACCAACAAACCACTGTGTATGATCATGTCACAAAGGATGAACCCTTTGTGTGCCTTTACTAGCCGGATACCCCTTGTGGCGGAAGTCTCTACCTCCTGACCAGAAGTCCCATCTGAGAGGCTTTTTATCCATTTCCGAAGCACTTCAAGACATGGATCCTCCATCTCTTTCTCGACCATACCCAGAAAACAGAGTGAAACAGAACCTTTATTAATTTCATAATTCATTTCATTACTCTTTCTTCAGGTTGTATTAGATGGGTGACAAAAGTCAACCTTGTTTTATCACAAAGACATAATACTTAATTCATGCAAATCGGTTTAAACCCGTTTTTGTTTCAAAACCCACTGGATTAGAAACTGATTTTAAAAGTTAAAACTAATTCAGTATTCAGAAACGACTTTAACAAGAGGTTGTCGAACTTACCCAAGTAAAATTCTTTGTATGTACTCCAATATTGGTTGATTTGCATCAAACAGTCAGGATGAAGTTCTTTAACCCTAACTTATTTAAATTATTTTTTTCTAAAATCAGTTTTGAATATTAGTTTGGAAAGGAGAAAAGCTAACAGTATACCATGTATTAATTTCCCTTTTTATAAAACCAGTTTAACACATTAGTTCTGTAAGAAGTGGTTCAAAAACCCACTATACTATCTAGTTAAATTAAAATATAGATTTGAATATCAGATAATTGTAATTGATAAAGATTCATACCTTAATAGCAGGGAATTGAAGCTCAGGAGTTATTTTATTGAAGTTACCGCTGAAACCGATTTTAACAGACATGTTATTGTTCTTGCATGTCGATAAATCAAACTTGTTATAAAATATTGAAAATCACCCATCAATCTTTCCAATGTTAAAAATAACCGTGACTACATGTAAAAATTTCAATTCAATAGCTGCACGGCAACCATTACCATTCCTTTACTATAAACAGTTATCCCACTTGAAAATTATTCTATAAAAAAATATCAATCAGTTGCATCAAATAGTGAGTGAATTTTCTTTTTCCACTGTGTACATGTAGTTTTTAATTTTACTCCATAGTTATCTTGAAAAAAAAAAAGACATTTTTATTTCTTAAGCTATAGTACATAATGGTAACGAAAGTTTCAAATTTGAGTCTTCTAGATGAAAATAAATATAATTGAAAAGAGAGATTTTACTAAAAGTGACTGAAAATCAATGAAATTTTAGCGAAGAATTCTTACCAATATAACATGATAAAGAAAAAAAATAATAGATTTGATGTAGAAATTTGTAAAATAGAAAAGAGAAAGCCAAAGTTAACAAACAAAAGCCGCAATCCAACAGAAGCAAAATTGATCAAATTCATCAATGCTACAGAGCCAGATTTAGTGGAAACAATTGTTTAAACAGAACAGTTACCATTTTTTGCATTCTTTTATTTTATTTTTTAACCTTTATTCATTAGATTAGATGAAACTGAGATGGTCGCACATCTTAATATGTAAGTTTTATTTTTTAAATTCGCGAGGTTCATGTGAATTTTAATTATTGAAAACAGTGTGTACAGAAGAAGCGCACGCAGTCAACACTATTGTCTTTTATAAACCCAGATTACACATTCAATCATTTAAGACACAAATTTGAAGTTTAACAATTAAACTGTAGTTAAAATGTTATTGAACCAGCATTATTCTCAATAATAATAATAATAATAATAATAATAATAATAATAATAATAATAATAATAATAATAATATAAATTAGTAGTAAATAAATATAATATAATTTTATAACATGAAAAATTAGAATATAATTTCATAAGCTTTTAGTATTCAAAGTATAAAATAACAAACCATTATGGAAGGTCCAAATTTTAATAATATATAGTACTAATATTCAATAAGTTTATGTCTTAAAAAAAAAAAAATTATAAATGCTTTAGGTTAAATTTCGTTGTTTCTCTTTTGTATAAATCGTCTGCTAGTGCTGGTTGTGTTTCTGGGTTGGCTTTTCATATGGACAATGGCTCCCAGAAATACTTACAAACAAACAAAAATGGCAGCATTGACTTCAAGCAAAGACTAATTCTATAACACATGGTTTCATATTGATTCAAGCAATCTTTGGGCCTATAATATTTAGGTCCAAAATCCAATGATCATTTTGCAGGTGCAACACTTGCAGTTCTCCAATCTCTCTTGTTCACAGCTGTTTTTGGAATGTGTCTACGTCCACATAGCCCAAAAATAAAGGCGCAATTGATCCACTTAACCACAGGTGCTGACAGCCAAATTCAAATCCTACTGCTACATCCAGAATTCATTTTCAGTGGAATCAAAAAAAGTAGCGATGGCTCTAAATCATGAGAGTTTTCATGTGTCCTTTTGGTGCTCATTCCTATTGTGGGTTAAAATGCAGGGAAATCTGCACAAGAGTGCTCTTCATGATTCTTCTTACTTGACACAGTCCTCACAACACCAGCCCCATTGTTGTAGTGAACTACTAATGGGTAGAATCAGAATCTTCTGTTCAATTCAATAAGTACAGTGCTTGGGCCTTTTACCTCGTTTTATGTAAATAACCTTTAGGGTTTGTTAGTTATGAACTTATGAACATGAAGGAAGATAATGACACTTGTTTCTTCAACTAGTCCACGATGTTGGGTTTTGGTTGTTAACTTGGAATTTCAAACCAAGTGTATAATGGAATGTCATCTTAGAGGAAAAGAGGCACCTTCAACAAATCAAACCCCAATCACATCATACGCCAAAAAACCTTTTTTCCTGTTCACATTCTGCCTTACAACACCTACAGCCTTGGAACTCCAAACTACAGCCATCAGCCTCTAATCCTCTACTAAGCCATGAACCCAGCATTGTTCAGCCAGCTCAGACTAACTAACTCCACAGCTTGTACCAAGACACACCAAAACCAAACTTGCAGAATTCTGACCAAAATTAAAGTCCCGTATAACAGGTTCCAGAATATATGCTCACTTTCAAAATACCACACATTTGTACGAGTATAGAAGTATCTTAACAAGAGCGAGTTACTTCAGATCAAATATAATTGTCAGAAATGGGTGGTCGTGCTACTGCACAAAATTGCTTGTAGCCAGCATATTAAACTTGGAGATAATTCAAATTTTCATAAAATGCTATATACTGATAATGCTAACATAAAAAACTATAATCTGGAAAATGAGGTAAGAATAACTTTTAGTCACACTTTAAACAAAATATATGGTTTAGGCCAATTGAATTTTTGCCCACCCTTAATAGGTTGACAACACCGTAGCAGCATCTTCATCTCTCTAAGACTTGAAAATTCAATCTGTCTGACTTATAATACGTCCACAAGAATCCAAGAACAATCGGCATTGAAGTCCAAGTGGGTAAATCGTGCAAAGTCCAGGGTTACATAAGACAAAAATACATAGACCATAGACAAGAAGAGAAATTTTAATAAATGTCAGGCACATCCTAGAACATACAAAAGCCACTAAATGTAGTAAAATACAAGGATAAAAGGAAATCAAATTTAGTCCACTATCTGCTGAACTAAATTTAGAAGAGAAATAGAAACACAAATAGAAACAAAAATGGTATGTAAAACAAACTGTCTAATTGCATTCTATGTTGCCTCTTTGTTTTCGGTTGTCAAAACATAAATAATCCTAAAATGAATTCAGCAAAAATTATAGCACACCTTAACCACGTCTTCTTATCCAGTGACTCGTGTTCTTATCTCAGGTTCCAGCTACCATGAATAATATCCTGATGTATTCTTTGAACCAATTATGTCAATCATGAAAGAGACAGAGTATACAAGCAACAAGCAAACCCATTGTAATTCAAGCCCAACCACCAGCCATTGTTCAAAATAATATTATGAAATGTATTTTTACTGCTGCTCTCGAAATAACCTGGCCAATGATTTGGCATCCAAATATAGTGAAGAAACTTCTTCAAGATTCACCTATAAATTTCACAATAATAACAACTCATTAAGTTGAATATAAGCATGCAGTGGCATTATTTCAAGTGCTGAACATCAAATTGTCCAATTTCATTATTACCTTGCACACGTTGTCATGGCCATTCATTTTCACAACAATGTTGGCAGGTGATAACAGCTGAACTGCATGCCTGATAAGAAACATTGGTGTAAGAAACATAAAAAGAAAAGCATAGGAGAACAGACAATCTAGAATGCATACCTTAAAGATGTCTGTTTTTCAATCTCCACAAGGAAACCTAAACTTCCCTCATCCCTAACAGTTTTCCCTTTAAGAACCAGAAGCTTCCTCTATGTTTACCACCTAGGAACTCAGTTGAAATGTAACATGGTAGAAAGGACTCAGATCTTCTTGTTCCTGCTGATAAACAGCGGTTGACCACAGTATCATTCTTATCGTGTTTTGCTTATTAACTGGATGAAAAAAAATCTGAACTTCTTGTAATCCTTTCTTTCTAGATTTCCGAAAAAATCTTGAATCAAAGATCCACAAAAAGATATAGCCTCATATGGATCAGCCTCAAATCCGTTAAGCTCTGCACAATAGATCCAATGGAAGAACTAAAAACTATTACTTTGTTCCACTGTGGTGTACAAGGATCATGGTGTCAGTTAACATTGGAAGATCTTTTAAATTACTGCAAGATAAATCCCTCAAGACATATCACTTCACACTTCCAAGTTCCAGCATGTTCTTTTTCAGTAGTTTGGCAATGGGTGGCTCTTTATGATCATGTCATTATTCCTCTAGCATTAAAGCTCAGAGACAAACCACTTACGATCAGTGCCAGGAGAAGAATGTGAATTGAGATGGTTTTCTCTTTTCTTCACTTTGCAACTGCAGCTATTGTGGAGACTTCAAGGCGAAGGAGAGCAATCAGGGAGGGACCTATTAATGACACGCATACAGTGTTGAATATGTCTGGGGAATGTGGCTTTTTCCTCAACTTTTCTTGGCACGCATGGCTGAAGCATTCAATGTCATAGGCCAAAACGAGTTCTACTACAGAGTTCCCAGAACTAGGTCAAGTATTGCCTCTTGCCTTTTTAGACTTGGAATGGCTGCAGGAAAGTTTTATCTAGTTTGATATTCAGCACTGTGGAACATGTTACTTGAAGAGGAGGAAAGGAGGAATGGGTTTTAGATAATATTAACAAGGGTCTTTGTGAAAAGTACTACTGGGTTCTTGCTTCATTGAATGCTGTTAATATACTGTATTATCTTGTATGCAGTTGGGTTATGGACCCACAATTGACCAACTATCCAAGTTATATCCACTTTAATAGAACAAGTATCAATCAGATCAACTACTCAGTTTATTTAATTTTTTATCACTGTCATTAGTAGTTATCAACCTTATTGTTGTGGTTGCCAATATATAGGCACTGGTAACAAACTAACCAATTAGTTTAACAAACTTAGCAAATTATACCAGGTCATTATATCTACGAGTAGACTATAAGCCTTATTGGGTACAATATTCCTGTAGAGAAGCTCTAGATTGTATCTAAATAAACTCTCTACCCGCACAATCTTTATCGGTCCAAGAACATGCTTTCAAGCATGGTTAATTGCACCCAAAGTTTCAACACGAGCAAAACTGAAATAACCATCATATATAAAATGAAGTCATAAATAAGGAGTTGATTGATCAAATCACAAAAACAGCTACTACATGTCAATTTCAATAACATTGATTGAACCGGTATGGTAGGTGTAAAGGAGGGTCTCCATGAACCAAATGATGTAAAGGAAGCTCTACATTTACTTGTCTGGGCTCTTGTATTAAAATACCAAAGTAATTAGAGTTTACTCGCTTGGTGTCTTGAATCCTTTTTAGCCACCGCAGTCCACAGCTTTCCCAGAGCAATCAATTCTCCATTCTGCTTTTTCTTGACTTCCACAATCACAGAAGTCAAATCATCTTTCCTTCCTACAACCTTCGCCTCTATTTCAACCTCTTCCTATTGTTAAAACATAAATTAGACATGCCAAAAGAACAAACAATTTTCGGTAGAATTAATGAAAGCATTAACTGAAACAATTAGACTTACGGCCACAAATTCTTCACAAAAACCAAAGATATTGAGATGTCAACATGAAGAGAAGAATACCTGAACCTTTGCCGTTGAGTAGTATGAGATACTGAAATCAACAGTGACCTGGTAACATGAGGTAAGGGTGTAGGAGGCAAAATTTGCAAGAATGTCAACTAATGTTGCTATTGCACTAACATGCCAATTTCCATTTTCGTCCTATAGACATAAAAGCAAGAATTAAAAAGGCTGAAAATGAAAGGACAAGATAAATGCTTCAAGTCCGAGGAGAATCAGATCATTATTAAATTATTACCAAAAAGCCACTGCGTATGATCAAGTCACAAAGGAGGAGACCTTTGTGTGCCTTTACTAGCTGGATACCTCTGGAGGTGAAAGTCTCAACCTCATGACGACCAGCAGAAGTCCCATCTGACAGGCTTTGTATCCATTTCCGGGTCATTTCAAGAGAGGGATCTTCCATGTCTTTCTCAACCATACCCAGAAATCAGAGTGAAACAAACTCTTTATTAGTTTAATTTGACAATTGGGCAGTCACAATACTTAATTCATTTTGATTGTTTTAGTAATTTGACTTTTCTAGTACACTGGATGCATGTACAGACATAATTGTTGATGTTGATGGAGAAACTGGTTTTAGTATAAAAAACTCTTTGTACCCCAAAACTGGCTTCAAAAATGATTCAATGTTTAAAACTGGACTTTTATACCCAAAGTTGATCCTAAAAATTGTTTTTATCCTAAAACCAGTTTTTTTTTTTTAAAGAAAAAAGAGGAAAAACATACCATGCATAACAGTTGAATAAAAATACAGTTTTGCCTGTATACAGTAGAAAACCAGTTTTTCATCATATAGTCTCATTCCTACCCACTCTGTTTTCGACGTATCAGTGATTAACCAGTGCCATTATACGTTCCGGATTTAAAGCTAATACCTTTAACCAATAAATAAGATCTATCATATAACACCAGGCTACGAATCAATAGAGAAACCATAGAAAAACAGAGCAGGTACACAGATAAAATCTATTCCCTCCCACATAATTCGAAGCTGTTAACAACAATAACAAAAATTAATAATAACAGCCAGTACAGTTAACAGATAACTGCGAACGATCCACACTTTAGGGAGAGAGTATTGAAGCTGAGAGGTTATTGTTCTCCAAGTTACTGCCAAAACAGAGATTAATAAACATGTGCATGTTCTTGCAGAACAAAAAATACTTGATAAACTATAGAAAGATAGCAGCACTATAGATTTGACTGAGAGATTTGTGAAATAGAAAAGAAAAGGTGCAGGTGAACAAAAGATGCAATTACCCAACCAGCAATCAACAAAAGGCCCAATCCAGCTGAAACAGTGTAATGAAAGAGGGTATATAGTCAACACTGATTTTTTTTTTTCTAACCTCTCATAAATACTAATTTAAAATTTAATAATTCAAAAAAATAAAATGAAATTAATAAAATAATATATAAATTAATATTAAAATATAATATTTCAATAATTTTTTAATGTTAAAAATAAAAGCATTTTTATAAGTTTTTAATATTCAAAGTATATATTAAAAAACAAATGAATCATAATAGGTTTATATTTAAACCTGTAAAACAGTTTAACTTTGAATAATAGGACAACTTTCATTAACATAACAAGTTAAAGTCTAAAAAAATTATTATCAAATTAAATTTCGTATTTTGTAAATGGGTAGAACCAGAATCCTGTGTCAGTGCTGGCTGTGTTCCTGGGATGGATTTCATAAACAATGGCTCCCAGAAATACATACAAACAAAAATGGCAGCAAAGACTTCTAACAAAGATTGTTTCTACTTTTGGCACGCAAAGTCCACTGATTTAATCTACAACGCAAAAATTACTTCATGTTTACATTCTTTAAGTTTATAGTATTTGGTGTGCATGCAACACTTCCGCAATTCTCAAATCTCACCTGTTTACAGCTGTTTGTGTCTACGGCCACGTACCCAAAAGCAGAATATATGCGCACTTTTTTAATACCACACATTTACAGGTTAAACCATATTTCCTGCAAAAAAATTGCTTGGGACCAGCAAATTCAAACAGGAGATAATTAGTTCATATTTTTATAATGCTACTGATGAATATATGACATTTCGAAATCATAATCTGAATGATGAGGTGAGTATACGTGTTAGTCAAACTTATTTATATATATATATATATATGGAAAAGATTTTTTTACAACCCAATTTTCCAATTTTTCAAACATTCAATGAACAACCTTAAAAAAATAATTTTTTTTATTGATAAGGAAAGATTAAAGTAAATTAGATAAATAATAATATAAAAATCTAAAAATAAATTGTTGAATTGATATTTTTGTCTATTTATATGGTAAAAATATCATATAGTTGTATATTAGAGTGGTATAGACCAAATTTATATTTTGTCCAGCCTTACAGTTTACAACATTCTTTAGCCTTCGGGTTAACAACGCCATTGCTCCATCTTCACCTCTATCGGTTGACATTCAGTGTATCTGACCTATGATTTCGTCCAATTTGTCTCATTGCTCCATCTTCACCTCTGTCGGTTGATATTTAGTGTATCTGACCTATGATTTCGTTCAATTTGTCTACTAATGTGGCGAAGTTTAGGATACAACAGGCTTAAACTTCAGGCAAACAGAAGTTTAGGGTACATCAGGCTTAAACTTCAGGCAAACACATGCTATGGACAAGTAAAGAGAACACAATGGGAAGTCTAGGAATTTTCGCAAATGCCAAGCAAGTCCTGAACTATTCCAAAAGCCATTAGAAAGTTGTAGAATTGGGGGAAAGAAGTTAAGACAATTAAGTCCGGTCAACAAAAGTAAATTTAGAAGCGCATAATAAAAAATAGAAACAACAGAAACGAAAACATGGGAGAAATAAACTGCCTCGTACATTCCATGTTGCCCATCTGTTTTCAATAGTCAAAACATGAAAAATATTCCTAAAATGATTTCAGCAAAATTACAGCATACTTTAACCACGGCATTGTTATCCAGTGACTCAGGTTCTTATCTCAGGTCCTGCTACCGTCAACAATACCCTGATGTATTTCTTTGAACCAATGGTCTCTGATCATGCAGGAGACAGTAGCGAAGAAACAAGCAGACCTGTTGTAATTAAAACCCAACCACCAGCTATTGAACAGTTTGAAAATAATATTATGAAATGTATTTCTCTTGCTGCTCTTGAAGTAACCTGGCTGATGATTTGGCATCCAAATATAGCGAACAAACTTCTTCAAGATCCGCCTATAAATTTCCCAATAAGAATAACTCATTAAGTTGAAGATAAGCACGTAGTGAACATTATCTCAAGTGCTGAACATCAAATGGTCCAATTTCATTATTACCTTGCATATGTTGTCTCGGCCATTCATTTTTGCAACAATGCTGGCAGGTGATAACAGCTGAACTGCATGCCTGATGAGCAAAAAGTGTAAGAAACATAAGGAACAACATAGGAGAACAGCCAATCTAGAATACAGACCTTAAAGACGTCCTTTGTCCAATCTCCCCAAGGAAAGCTAAACTTTCCTCATCCACCACCAGTTCCTCTACTTGGGCCCGGATGGCTAGAATCTGTTCCACAGGTAAGTAGCATGCATGGTTGAATATCAGAATACACAACACTTGAAAGTCAATCAAAAGAAATAAAGGCAATAGTACCTGTATCATTTCAGCAGGACCATAAGTTTGTGTTCGAATGATCACCAACCGATCCAACAGGTCAACAGGTATGCCGTGTGGACTGGTCATATCAGTCCCTCTGTATAAAAAGCAAGCAATAATGATAAATTCAAGCAGGTGAAATAATAAAAATGGGACCATATAAATCTAGCACTAATCAATATGACATTGACTTGAAGTTTGTATTGATGTTCGTCTAATTGTCAATTAAGCATGAATTATAAACCCTACACCATCAACAAGGAACTAGAACCATAGGCTTACTTTCAATCTTAACTAATGACAACCACCGAAGTCTTATATGACCAAGAGTTATATACAAGATCAAGGAGATAATTACAAAAACTTATTGGCTACCTATCACCACACTGCATTCATTTGATTTATCCAACTTTTCCAATGAACCAAAACTTCTTTAAAAAGCATTATTATTTTAATCATACCTTACATTGCATATTCCTCTATTAGTAGCAAAGATTACTATTGGAGACAGAGAGCTCTCTAAAGCACGATTCAAATATGAAAAACACTCCATGTCTAACATATGAACCTGCAAAGAATAATTAATACTTAATTATTAGATGCATGCATTAGTAATGCATAAATTAGTTAATGGGAAGGTTAATGACTCAGTCACCTCATCAATAAATAGAACTCCAGGGACAAGCTCTGCCACACCTTCGTCAATATATCGGTTGACAACCTGTCACCAACAAAAACAGTTACCCTCTTGTTTCTGTATTATCCCTCGCTTTCTTTTTACCTTTGGTTCTTTTCTGATTATAACTCAACTATGACCTCATCAATCCCCAACATCAATTTGTACATAAAACATCTGAAACAATAAGCAATAGCCCAATGACAATTGGATGTAATTGGAGAAACTTTTAAGAGAAAACTTTATTTTTAGACCCTCAATTCTTGCCACAACTAATTAAGTAAGAGACTGATGAAAGTCCCACATCGCCTACCTCATGTCATTTGGTATGGTTTAAATACATGTTAGTCTACTCCACATATTGTCAATTGGTTTTATGTTGGAACCTTAACATGGTATCAAAGTCAAAACCTAACATCTTTCTGGTTATTGTCATGGGCCAAAAGTTGTCGTTTAGTTGGGTCAAAAGTACCCTTTGTCTGGTCTGACAGGCTTCGATGGAGGGGACGTGTTGAAAGTCCTACATCGCCTACCTCATGTCATTTGGTATGGTTTAAATACATGTTAGGCTACTCCACATATTGTCAATTGGTTTTATGATGGAACCTTAACAGAGATTACAAACTTGTATCACAAATTCTGAAAATACCTTGTTAATTTCTTGTCTCAATTTGTCAGTGATTTCTGTTTTCCGGGGTTTCATCATCTGACCCATAAGAGAGAGAATATCTTGTCCCCCTTGAGGTCGTGCATTGGCGGCATCCAGATCATGTAAGGTTACATCCTTTAAGAACAAACAGTCCAAATCACAATAAGAGATCAGAAATATATTATATAGTCAATACCTAAAACAAAATCTTACAGTGTATACTAGTGCAAGACTATGCTTTAAAAAAATAAATAAATAAAAAGTCATCCAATGATTTTGACGATTCTGAAAACAAATAGGTTAAAAAATACTTATCTCCTCTAAATTGATATCTAGAATAAAACAAACTCTAATGTCCACAGAAATCTTGATTAAAGTTTTGCCTGACCCCATAGTGACATGACTTCAAATTAATAACTGCAAATAATTTGACAGTCACAACCATGCTAGAAAAAACAAGACCAGATTGGCCAATTCAACTGGTTGGGTCGAGAACTGGTTTGGAGACCAGGCCGTATATATGAACCATTCTCAGATCAATTCAAAGTAGAACTATGGAATTGATGTAATTGACAATAAAACAATTAAATTCAGAAATGAAACTTCACAAAAATATAGTTTATAAAACCATCAATTAGGGGATCCAAATGTAATAATAATAGTTCTACTAAATTAGCAAATCTTAGAGGCATTACATTAATATCAAATTGGTTTCAAATTAAATACCTGAACAATCTCCTTTTTTTTGTGAACCTCTCCCTTAGGAAGTGGAACATACTCTTCTGCTTCGAGGTCAAACTCCGTAGCAAAAGCATCACTTCGACCCACCCTTTTTACAGCGCCGCTATTTGCCTCAATGTATATAACATCCCCAACAGCTACCTGCACCACGTATGCAGAAGTCCCGAAATCAAAACATCACATATTTGTTCGCACAAATATTACATAGCTTCAAAAATAAAACAGTAAGAGTTAATTAGAAACCTCACCTTTTCCTTAATCAAGGCATCATATATGGTGGGGTCCAACTTGAGTTGCTTGGTTCCTTTCACTGTCTTCAATCCAATGATCACATGGCTAATACTTTTACCATAACCACCTGATACACTCTCAGTTTCTTCCGGAGTGAGCTCGGTTACCTTACACAGGACCAGCAAAATATCAACATCAATATGTACAATGCACACAATCACATCCCAGTTTTGACAAGAGACCAGCTATAAACTCACCTCTCCTTCATATACTTCTTTGTTTTCCTTTATACGCAGACCAATGGCCCTTCGAAAATTTTCCATGAGAACCTCGGTCTTCTTCACTTCTGAGGAGTACACTTCAGAGCCAACCATTGGACAGAATGGAACCTGCAGAGTGGCATAAACTTTATTAGCAGTGGCAAGGAGTGTAAAAACACTAAAAAAAAATAAGAGTTTAAATTAATGGCGATGCATAGAGTGTCGTCCAATTACAAAAATATGCGTTGCTATGATTCTTAAGATCATTTATAACAAAAGTTTATAAAAACAGCAGAAGAATGAGTTTCGAACCTTGGTGCCAAGCTCTTGGCTTATCCCAAGTGCCAGTGCAGTCTTGCCGGTTCCGGGTGGTCCAGCGAGAAGGAGTGCCCGGCCGGCCATCTTCTTCTGGCGAATCATGTCAACCACGAGACCGGATGCTTCTCTGGCTTCAACTTGGCCGACGAAGCCAGCAGCAAAAGGCAATGCTTTTCCACTCGCCTGAACAATCAACCATCAAACAAAAAATTGCAATTGAAAACCTAGCACAGAAGAGGAAGGAGAACAACCTCGAGACCTAGGCCTTTGATGTGAGTGTGAGTAGCAACACGCTGCTTCTTGGTGGTTGACTGAACCTCTTCTATCTTCATCTTCTCCATTTCTCTCTCAGGTTTTTGCACTTTGCAGCAGCGGACACAGCAACAACAAGAGACAAGTGAACGCGCTAGAAATGAAAACACAAGGGAAGTGAAGGAAGGAAGAACATGAATTCACTGGGCCATGGGCTATCCCAGGCCCATATATTTAAACGGCTTCGGTTGTATCTTCCTACACCCCTATATTTATCTAAAATAACAATATATTTAAATAATGTATTTAAAATATTTTAATTTAATATTTTTAATTAAAAAATAAGATAAGTGACAAAATAAATAAAAAAAAATAAAACAAGTAGGAGGATAGAGAAAAAAAGAATAACAAGAAATAAATAAAGAGAAAGAAAAGTAGAAAAATAAATAAGGAAAAAGAGCAAAATAGTTATATTATATCGAGTGATGATATTTTGACACCACAATAAGATAAAAACGATAATTCAATAATCCATTTTAAAATTTTTATATCATTAATTATCTATATTACTTCATTCTCTCTCCATTTTTAGATTTTTATATCATTATTTATCTATGATTTTCATTATCTCCCCATTAATCAACAAAAATATTATTATTTAAAGATTTTCATTTGTATATTTATAAGAAGAGGGTATCAAAATATTTTTTCCCTATTGTATAAGAGGGCACCATTGTTCCATATATAGTCGATTCTCATGTTCGAGGTATTGTCGATTTTAGAGTCGTCGTTCATCAAGATTTTGTTCTTAAAAGACACTTCGATGAGTTAAAAGATGGATGTATATTAACTACCCTTAGTCTCGACTCCTAAGCGATGTGGGACTCATAAGCGTACTGAAACATAAGTCTTTTAGTCAAGGATTAGGAAATATATTTGAGTGGAGTGAGACTCTACTCTCAGACCCACGATAGGCGTCAATGTTTCATCTAAGAACAAGAGTGTTTTTACCTCATGTCCACTATGATAACATCGTTAAAATCAATTTTGATATCCGAAATATTATCTGTTTTAGAGCTCTCGTCCGTCACGTTTTTGTCCTTAAAAAATATTTCGATAAATTAAGAAAAATTGTGTATATTAATTACCTTTGGCTTCGACTACTAAATTATGTGAGACTTGTGAGTATAGAAAATATCCACAAACTGTGTTGGTGTACAAGAGAAAATCTGGTGTCAAACATATTTTTGACATTTTACATAGAAGAAAATATTGTAACACAGGAAAAAGCATCCAACCGCTCTTCTCTCTAGTGGTCGATGTATATATTTCGTAAGCAGACCAAATGTTACAAAAGTAGTCATTTTATCATGCTTAGGGATTGAATATTTGTTAAATATCAAATCATTAATTTTTCCTAAGTTTGAGTAATCAAGGTTTAAATAATCAATGATCAAAAGAATGACAATAGAAAAATTAATTCTTTTTGCAGTAAAATATATGCTAGAGGATTAATTTCATATCTCTTCTTACAAATTCCTAGCCTAATTAATTGATCCAAGAATTAAATTTACCCACTAGAGTTAGAAGTGTTATTCACTTCCTAATCCCTTATGTAAGTAAAATTATTTACTGAACTCTTAATTTCCCAATTCCTTGGAAGAAGAAAAATTCACTGAAACTTGGATGGTTAATATTTTCCTCCACAGAAACTAGTTAAGCTTGTATAATTTTCCAATTAAACAAAAATCGAACTTACCTTATCTATCAACATAAATAGTATCAATTTTTTCAAATATAACTGCTTAAAATTAAACATAAAAAACTATAGATAAAATATTGGAGTAAATGAAATTACAATGCATCAAGATAAATAGGTTCAGAATTTGTCTTACAAAATATTACATTAATCTTCTAACATAGGAAAAAGTTTAGTCTTCCATAAAAGCTTCTAAAAACTCAAAATCTAAAAAAACTTTATACGCTGTCTTCTCCTCCTGGCTCAGTTCTCTCTGTAGCTTATATAACTCCTTCCCCAAAACTTTCCACGTCAGCCCTCCTTTCTACTACTTCTGCCTTTTCCTTTTCCAGCCCAAGCCCATTAGCAAAGAAAATTAAAGATTCCACTGTCAGCCTATTAGTGATGTCAGTCATACAAACCCACAAACAATGTCCTAATTGCACCTATTTTTTCAACAAAACAAAGAACTACAATACAAGTAAAATGTAACGGTAATGCATGAAAATAGCATGCAAATGTTACCACAATGCATGTAATTGACCTAATTTAATCTATGAATGTGAGGTAAAATAAACATGCATCAAAATCTCTCAGACTTAAGTTTTTGTTTGTCCTCAAGCAAGGAAATTTCAATGAACACAGATGATGCAAGTATACGGACACAAATTATCATAACTCAAGTTCTAGTTCCCAAAGCAATAATTTCCGAGCACACCTCTCATCCTTTTTCCGCTTGATTCTTACTCACTTGAACTACCTACATACTCAATCACGTGTAACCAAAGAATTGCAAGACATATCATTACTTGAACACTATGGATCAATGTTTGAAATTAATCCTCACAGTGTTTCTCTCTAGGTGAGTGTTTCTCTCAATCACACATCATTTCTATGAACATAAGTATTGACTTCTTCTTTCCATTGTCACTTTTGAAGGAAAAAAATTAAATGGTCATAAGGTCTTGAACAGGTTGTAATGGGGCTTGGCTAATGAAGAATAACAAGATTTTTCTGGATACACAAAGTTCCAAACTCCAAAGAGCAAATTGAAAATGAAAAGAAAAATAATGGAACTATTGAACCATAACTCCTTTCTTTCTTTTGATAATTCCACCCATGTCTATTATTCTCAATTTCTTCCTTTTAGACTCGGTTTTTCCTGTAATTTGTATTGATGAACCCCTCTCTTTCGAATATTTGTATGCGATCTGCTTGGTTCTCTTTTTCTCTTTTTTTTTTTAAATGAAATTTATATGAGAAATGAGATTAGAGAACATATTTGCACAATTTCTCAAGTACTTGAGAGAGGTGGCTTCTGTGTTTTGATGCACCGAGTTTTTCTTTTCCCTTCCCTAAACGAGTTTTCACTTCTCTGATTCTTAACCCACTTCATTTTCAACGTGCTCTTTTAGTTTGGTTCAGGTGGGGATTTGACAATTGTAAGGGTTTTAGGGTCAGGAATATATATCAAGCTCCAACGGGTTTATTATAAAGGGAAAAATTTTGAAACCTGGTTAATAATCTGGCTCTATGCTCATAGGGCTCTTTAGAATATACAAAATTTGCCTTGACCTTTCCAAATTTTTCATGTAAAAGCAATTGTTTCAAGAATTAATTAATGCAAACACATATGTTATGATGGTGTCATTCAATAGTGTGGATATAAGTATTTGACTTTCTCGCTCACTGGTCTGGTTAAAAGTTTTCAATCACTGATCTTTTCATGCAAAGTTGAGACAATGTTTAACACTTCTAGGGTCATAAATAATTGGCAGAGTGTAACCACACAATGAGTCCAGCAGTTTATTAGCTTTGAAGTGTGCAGTTTAGAACTTGAGGTTAAAACAAACTGAGGTAGAAATGATCATGCAATGCTACTTGCTATATGTCATGCTAAAACAAAAGGAAACTCACAATCAAAACTAAAAAAACTATTTAAACAGTTAAATAAAAAGACTGTAAAGATAGTAAATCTCCCAAGCTTAAATGTTTCCATGGTCTCCACTGAAAACGTTAGAGACATGTAAGATTGGGAACACTTACAGGTTATGGCGGACGTGTGCAAAGCACGATCAAAGTTTCTTCCAACAGTTGTTCTACTTTGTATTGATTCTCTCTTTGTTCTTCTCTGAAATGTTGGAATTCTTCATAATGCTTGTTCTGTTGGGCTTGGAGGCACTCAATGGATTCTTGAAGCTGGGTTAGCTCGTTTGGTCTGGGCTGGCTAGGAGGGTTGGTGAATGGTGGAAAAAAGTTTGAGTCTCGGTTTGACTTGCAGCTTGAATGCCTGGATGACTCACGGGTGAAATCCCTGGTCGACTCTTCTCTGGTCAACTCATGATTGAGATCCTCTGTCGACTGGTGGCTTGAATTGCTGGTCGAATCGCTATCGGAGGAAATGCTGAGAGAACTGGTTTGTTGTGGTGCCCCTCTTGGTCTGTTCGCCTGAATGTCACGGATGCGCTGTGAAAACCTGGTTGGAGCACGAACGAGAGCTTGTGACAGTGGTGCTTGTCTGGGAGTCCTATTAGTCGTGGTCTTCTTCCCCATTGAAGTTGTGGTTCAAGTAAGAAGCAATGAAAATGGTGAATCGAAGATGAGAGGTGATAGAGCAGAGGTGAATCGGGCTAGAAAAGAGTGTAAAAGAAACACTGTGAAATTAGGGTTACAGGGGAGTTTAGGGTAAAATAAGCTTCTTCTTTTTTTACGTAATCAAAATTCGAAAACTATATAGAGAAAAGAAAAAAAAAAAAAGATTGTCTGACACGAGATTAAGTTTTGGTGGTGGAGGATTGTAGTGTGAATGTACACCTTTCCCTTTCGAAACTCTCTCTCTCAAATACAGTTTCAACCTCTGACCATTCACTTTGAACTTTCGTGATTGCTCCAAATCTAAAATCTTAACTGCGCCAAAGGAGAAGACTTGCTGAACCAGAAATGGTCCTAACCATCTCGATAGAAGCTTATGAAAACAACATGCAAATGTTACCAGAATTTATGCAATTAACTTAATTTAATATATGAATATGAGGTAAAATAAACATAAGTGACATTATGAGAAGGGGAGCAAGCCCAAAGATAAAAAAACAAGAAAGTTTTTTCTTGCATATAACTTTAGAAAAGATCATGTTATCTTTCTTCTTCTTTTTTTTAAACTCTCTAGATTGGTAAATCTAAATTTTATTTTATTTTTACAAGTTTTGGGTTAAAAATTTGGAAAATGTTTTTTTCCTTAAGTTAAATATTTTTTTCTTAATTTTCAGATTAAATAATTCAGAATATATCTTAGAACCACCCAAATGTTTTGATGGTGAACTTAATACATATCAATGTTTTGGGGAAAAAAAATTACTTACACTCAACCAACTCTTGTTATCGTGAATGTGTTGAATAATGTTCCCGGGAATAGTTATTATTTTAATAATTTTTTATGTACTATGATAATAATATTTTATTACTTTACAGTTGTGGACACAAGAGTTACTCTTACCCACATATTTTTCTACTAGTAAAATAGAAAATAAATTATAACATAACAATCATTTAGTAGTAGCTTCAAGGGAAAAAAAGGAAAATGGTATTGGTTTTATTTTTTTCTATTTTTTAGTGGACTATTGTTAGCCTAATCAACATATACTATTACCAATTTTTTATTATTACACAATTTTAATATATAATCTAAATAACGTCAATGTCACTCCAGTTTTGGTGAACTGTGGATGTTTTCAGCCAGCATTTTACCTCTTTCAGTAGAACCCTTTCAACAAGTCTCACTTTGTAATAAAACTAACATAAATTTCATTTTACTAAAAAAAAAATAGATACTAAAAGACAGATAAATAAAAAATAAAGAACTGAATAGCCAAATTTACTCTCTCTTTTTTCATTTTTACTGCAATAAATGATTTTCATTAAATACACTCGATCAATCATCATCATCTGATACAATCAATCACCTTCATAAAAACAAATTGCTAAACTTATGCTACAATTTTTTTCCTTCATCTGCACAATATGCTAAAACTTATTGAACTTGATAAATGTCAGAATATAAAGGTTTCTATTTCACTAAATAATTGGTGCAATTTTATTTGAAATTCCACCAAATGGTGTTCACTGTTCAGAAACCAGCAGTTTCTTCAGCTCCTTTTTATTTACCTGAAATTTCACAGGAGAAACAATAATCTACTACTATTTCCTTCCTAGAAAATATGTCAAGGTGAAAAGGGAAATAGATAGAGGTGAAGTAAATTACCTTCCCCATGGCATTGCGAGGGAGTTCGTCCCACACGATTAGTTGAGTTGGAATCTAACAAGACATAAACAAATTATCAAGAGAGAATAACTATGTTTTGTTTGAAAGCCAAGAAATTAGCAGCAAAGAAAACACCGAGAGAGACTAAAAATGGTGTTTTTTAATTGTTTAATTATCATGAGAAATAGTTTAAGATTTGCTCTTTTCATCTCTCACTCTTATCTTATACACACGCACAGAAAAATGAACAATGGTAATGATGCATACCTTGTAAGGTGCAATTTTGTCTTTGGCCCAGGTGGATAATTCTTCTAGGCTTAGAACAGGCTTTGATTCTTGATCTCGCTTCCGTTTAACATCAGCATGTGGCACAATGATTGCACCAACAATCTCTCCATAGTCTTTGTCTGGTAATCCTAAAACGCAACATTCTGAGACTGCTGGATGCTGCAAAAAATGTTCTGATTGTGAATATTCATCCTTCATCCCTATTATTCAACTCGTTCCATGGAGAGAAAAAAAATGCAACAATACATGGGGTTGATAACAATTAGCAACCCATAATGAGAAAATGGTAGGCCACTTGCCTCTATGATAACTGATTCAATTTCTAATGCAGAAAGTTTATAGCCACCAGCCTTGATTATATCAGCATTAGTACCTGAGAAACAAGTAGAGAATGTACACAATGTTACTTTTAGTTTTATTTCCATCACAATCTATCTTTTACTCTGATGCTCAGGTGTAGGGATCTTTATGTTTATTCGTTGTCAATCAAGATGAAATAGTTGAGTTCTCATGCATGTCCAAATAAAAATATTAGGAAAAACCAAATTTCCTGGCTATCAGCAATTAGGGGTAAATGTTTCTGACAACAATTTAAGCAATTTTTTCTCTTACTTTTGTTGTGAGAGTTGTTTTGGAAAAAAGGAAATCCCTTGCTCAAAGACAATTCTAGGGAATTTCAAAATGGATATGTAATTATTAAGGAATGAGAATCATGCTACATGATGCACTCAAAGTTCTGACTTTTACGAGAATACTTAGAGATATATAAATTTCCTTACGTCCTAAAATGATGTAATATCCATCTTCATCTGTAGTAACTGCATCTCCAGTCTTAAAGAATCCATCCTCAGTAAATGATTCCTTAGTTACCTGAATGGAAAGAGTAAAACTTCTCAGAAGTAGATATGATATCCCTTTGTACCATTCTCAATATTTGGAATCTTGGACGTTCGCTAACTGAAATAATATTCTGTTCCATTTACTGTGCTCAATCTTTAGAATCATGGAACTTCTGTTGCTCAAATAACTGTTTCTTGGGTAACAAGATGACCAGCCTGTGGGTAATGAATAGTGATGGGGCATGATAGGGAAATACGGTATTGTATCATGATGTGCTTAAGTCATGTAATAATGCATTATACCTCAATAACGGTTTAGAGGAGCATAAAATGTAAAAAAGAACAGGTAATAGTTATTACTAAATTGACGATTTCTGAATCACTAAATAAAAGAACTAGAAAGTACCTCAGGAAGTTTCCAATATTCTTTAAACAATGACGGGCTTTTAACGCAAAGTTCACCCATTCCCGTGTTGCCATTCTCACCCTCTTCGTCTGCAACAATCTTCACCTGTCAAGCAGACAGAAATGTCAACCTTAAAATTCCATATGATAATTTTGTTCACACTGTCCATAACAATTGAGACAACGCCTCCAGATTTATAGTAAAACAACCATCTCATAGTATGTCAGTATGTCAAAGTAAACTTTGGCATGTGTCCTTCAAGTTCCAGTCATATATCACTCTAGTGAGTGTTTAAAACAATAAATTTGGTTTCCTTAACCTGAAATTGAAACTTGAGGACAGACCATTAATTACTAAAACCTCCTACAGTGTTGTTTCGGCTATCTGATCATATAAACAGATTATATAGCAGTGGAATAAGAGATAAAACAGCCCATTTTTTGAAGGAGCAGCGAACAAGTGCAAGATCAACTTACCTGTATACCAGGAAATGGTTTGCCAACAGTTCCTGGCTTGCGCTCACCTTTCACTGGATTCGACAATGCCATAACAAACTAGAAACATTAAAATAAGAACATAAGATTAACCTAAAAGTCATTGTAAATTTAATAAGAAAACTAGAAAATACATACATGATTCCGTTCAAAATTGAAGGACAAATTAAAGTTTACTTACTTCAGTCATACCATATCGTTCCAACAGGCGATGGCCAGTGATGGCTTCCCATTCGTGCATAACAGGTAGCGGAAGTGCAGAGGACCCACACATCTAAATAATAACATGATAATAGATTTCTAAGATTGAATTAGTAGTTAGCAGTACGCACTAGTGCAGGAGAACATACAACATAAATTGCAAGCATGTCTGTGCATGACAAATTTCAAAACCACTAGTCACACATTACAAATAGAAGAACAATCCATTATTTTAAAATTCAAACAACTTCCAGTTTATCTTCTTTTAAGAGATAAAATTGTTCGATGCATGTTCCTGTGCCTCTTTCTCTTACCATAAGACGTAAGTTACTTGCAGCAGACGCTGAAGCATCTTGTAGCTCAGGATCCATTGCATGATAACCTTGTATCAATCGGGCATAGATAGTTGGAACCTTCATTTAAAAAAGAATTTAAGTATAATCAGATCACCCAGGACTAGTTTTCTAACCATAGCAAATATTGTCTATAGCTAATAGTATACAAATGAATTCTAAATGAACAAACAGTGCAACTTAATACTTTTTGTGTTCAATTGCATAACATTGAATACCATCGAATGGTCCACAAATTATAAATGCTGTTTTGGTATGGATGTAGCATCAAACATTATTTTTTTCCAGCCATGCTTAGGTTATATCCACAAACCAAGATGCCATGAGAATGAACCAAATGATATATTATATAAGTGACCAATGCTAATAAAAATTATACTTACTCCAGTGAACACAGTTATAGCATCATCAGCCTTAGAACCATCAGTTGGATATGATTCACGCCATCTCTGCCAAACTCCCCTCACACTAAATTTTGGCAAAAATTCAACCTTCAACAACACAATTAGATTCTTAGCCACAATAATCTATTTAAAAGGATACTACATATTTTGAGGCCACCTAAAGATAAGTTAAGATTTCATTTTCTAGTTGTCAACTCTTCGGAAGCATAAGTGAAGTATATTACCGTGGAACCCACATAGAGAGGGGCCATTAAGCCATTGAAAAGCCCATGAACATGTATACCATATATGTTAAGGATTGACATAATAAAGATATCCCAAATCACATTTTTGCAAACATACTAGAGATGTGTATGTTTTAAATAATTAGAAAAATATTGAAAGATGTATACACACAAACTTTCAAGGATATGATGTAGTGGAAGACAATGCAGAAACTTGTCAGTAGATGTGTACTCCCATGCTTTTGTCAAGGTTTGGACCTAAAATCAAAGACAATTAAAATTAATAACAAGATGGGATTGACTGATAAGACTCAAGCCGACAGATATTACACTGCATTCTGATTAAAGTTAAATCATAAACAGTAGGTCATGCATGAGTTGATAATATCACACAAAAATAATTTGCTAAATCATAGAGCTCGTGTTTAGATGAGGATTTTATTTTAGTGGATGATGAAACTTTTAATTCAAAGTAATAAATGTAACTAGAGATAAACATATAGCATACCTGGGAAAAGATGCTTCGGTGTGTATGAACAACTCCCTTAGGTTTACCTGTAGTCCCACTAGTGTACAAAATCAGTGCTGGATCTTCACCTATGCAAATGGATATGAAAAACCGAGAAAGAACTATATCAATGGATTGCTAGCATAAGACTACCCTATCCATTTATAAAAGCTGAAACTGATTTACTTACTTGATCTTCCAATATCATCCCACAAAATTCTGTCTGTATGACTTTCCCCATTCTGAAGATGTTCATCTCTGCTTTTCTCTGAAGACTTATTGACAACAGGTGGAAGATGAAAAAATTGAGAAGAGCTTTTAGCGGCTACCCTTTGCATTAATTCACTATGCTCTTCAGTACTCAGTATAGCAGATATATCCTACAGCCATATTATATCAAATTTCAATTAAGATTCAATCCACAAAGCAGAAGTAAAGGTGATTCAGAATATATTAAATAGTTTAACTACACAAGAAAATAGATTCCATACCGAATTATTAATCACATACAAGAGCTCTACTTCTGGATAGCTGATTGCAAGGGGAACAGCAACACCTCCACTGAGCCAAATCCCAAGCATTCCAGCAACAAATTCAGCAGAGGGTTTGGCTACAATTCCTATTCGAGCACCACCAAGATTTCCCTGGGTTTTGATACCACTTAGAATTTAGTCAATGATTTATAACATATTCACAAATGTGGCACTACATGAATGCCAAGCAAGAAACTAAGAATTTTGTTAAACTCCAATTTTTAGCAGTTGATCTGAATAGAATAAAAAATCTGGGTTTTCTTAATGAGAACAGTATCCTACGTTCAAGCTTTTTCAATGGTTCAGCGTGAAGGCATGTTTAGTTTAGCTACGTGTGCATTTAGTTAAACCAAAATGTATCTTTAAGAGTACCTCTTGGCCCTTACATACTGTAATATTAACTTCTTTTCTGCCCCTGCTTGTTTCAGGGGAGTTACTACTTTCTATCTATTACATGCAGAGAGGTCGGGCAGTATTGCTGCATTCTTGGTTATCTTCTTCTTCTTAGAAAATTTTCACCTTTTCTCACGCACAGTGCACCCCCCTTCAAATTTATATATTTGAAAAAGAATAGCATAACTGTTTTACAGATTAAGTTTTTAAGAACTGCCATTCATCATATTGATCAAATGATAACTAAAAGTTATACACTATTTCATCTAGCAAAACAATAGTAAGGGAATTCTAAGGTGTAACTCACTGTTTGTGCATCACTGGCACACAAGAGACTAGATATTCTCTGTGCTGATGAGATGAGTTGCTTGTAACTATAACTCTTCTGATCAGCTCTGATAGCAACATTTTCATGAGCTGTAGGTTCTTGCTTTGCAATTGCTTTGACCACCTCCATTAATGTAGCAGGTGCAGATGCTATATAGAAAGGAAGGAACAATCAAATAACCTTTACAAACGGATTTATTAGATATTAACATATTTCCACGTGATGTAAACTGAACAACCAAAATATCTATTAGGTATTTTTTCTGAAGTGACTAGAACCAAAATGGTCCTTCTAAACTTCCCAGCACAGCAATATCACTATCATAAGATCATAATTCATAACAAGTAAAGATAACTTCATCCATTAATGTTTAATCCTCTTGATCTTCCTGGACACTGAAATGTTTAAACCCATGCTCCATAAAGCAATAATCAGATTTGGATGGTACTAGGAACTTGATCAACAACTAGGAGATACGAAGCCAAAACGCTACTTAGCCCAAAATAAGATGCTTCATAATAATCCCTATGCTTAGATACTTTTTTCTGAAAAAATAAAAATAAAAAAAATAAAAATAAAACTGTGTGCTAATGCATGATGTTAACTAAAAGCTAGAATGTAAACAGAGTAGCAGACAGTTTACAGTTCCTATCAAAAGTACTATTTACTTCACACCCAGAATACATTACATTACGATCAAAATAAACAAAATTAAAGAGGGAGAGAGAGAGGGAGTGAAAGGGAAAACACAAACTTTACTTGTGCAAGCAGTAGTGACACACCCCAACAATATATTCCATCAAATTCAACCTCAAGACGGAATTTTTTTGGCATAGGCCTAATAACCCAGTTGAAAAAACGAAAAAAATAAAAACAAAAACAATGATCCCAGAAGAAAGAAGTTCCAAAAGCCCAAGACTCACGTTCAAAACAGTAAGAAAGTTAATTTCAGTGTGAGCAACCAAACAGAGAGCGGGAGAGAAACTCACAAGAGAGCGGACGACGCTGAGAGAAAGAGAACCTGGGGTAGGAAACAAGATGTGGGAAAAGAGGGAAAGAAGAGGATGTTATGAAGGCATGGGAAGAAGCATAGCGCATGTGGAGAGGGAGAGGGAGGAGAGTGAGGTGTTTGTTGAAAGCTTTCAATGAGCGACTCATTTAGGTAGCTGGCTGGTTGATATTGAGACCAACTAATAGAGCGGTGGAGTTAGGTGGAAACTGCGTGCTTCTAATTCAATTTCGCACGTCCAATCTTTTACCACTTTAATTTGTCTTCTTCCGAGTCAAATGTGGCAATTTCCGAGGCCACGATTTGCCGTATTCAATTCCAATCCCTATACTGTTTCTCTTTTTCTTTTTTTTTTCTGGGTTTCCTCTGTTTTGGGGGGACCTTCTGATTACTGTTTCTTAGGGTTCTGGACACTGTTTAGCACCATGATATTAACGTGAACGTGATCGTGTCTTGCCACTTGCAAGTTGTAACCTATCTTGTACTTGTGCTGCCCCTTTTTAAAGATAGGTCTCGTTGTGGCAGGAATTACCTTGTTACAGAAACAAATTGTTTCTTTTCCTCTGAGGTAGGGATGGGATTATCATAGTACACAAACAAAAAGTGGATTTGTTGTCAAAAGGGGATTTGTATAACTTAAATATACGTAAGATTAGCATAAAACAATACATATACGTAGTACTTCATATCGATGCAGATAATCGGACACGAACCAACCTGGGGTTTTGATTTTATTAAATAAATGAATAAAATAACAGTGGGTTACACTGACACACGCCTACGTTATGTTTGACCCGCAAGATTTGGTCTTGTTTTTCTTTTTTATATTGAGAAGACTTCAAATAGATTTTTTGAGATTTTGACAAGTTGTTATACGTATTTAGTGCTTTTTGGTTTGTTTTTCGTATGGTCCATTCGTGTTAAAAAAGTAACATTAGATAACTGGCTGTCCCAAGCACTTAAAAAATGTATCGTGTTTGTGGCTAAAGCGTTTCTTATTTGATCATTCCATTTGTACAAGTTAATGACAAGAAGGTTCTCATCTCCTAGTGTTCATGTATCCTTCACGCAATTCTACAATTTATAAAAAAAAAAAAATACAGAAGGAACAACCACGTGCAGATTTGATAGCATTTTTTAAACATTTGGTCAGTTTCCAAGTCTAAGTTATCGCTACCCGAAGGGTCTCAAATGTCTGACCACAACAAAATGCGGTCGCAAATGTTGTTGCAAATTTCAATGCATATCCACCACGTCATGAAGGAGTCGTTAGAAGTGTTAGCGTAGAGAATACTATGAATTTCTCAGATAATCTCGTGTTATAGGAAGGTTGTATTTGTTTGATTGCTATTATCACAATCCAAATTAGTGTCTAACCATATTCTTAAGAAACGGTGTGGGAATATAAGATGAGGGAAAATTGATAACTTCGAACTGAATATATTCCAACAATAAAATATGTCAACTGCTGCGTTTTCATGTTACACAAACTATTTCTTGATGTAAAACTTCTTGTGATCCCACGACCATAAAGGGGGCGGGGAAAGTTTTTTGAAAAGACATCCTATAATAAAGTTAGAAATATATCATAATGACACAAATTATGGATGTCATGACTGGAATACACAAGACTTTACTTTAAGTAATGAAATCCAGCTCATTTCTAGCATGTATATCTGTACCAAGCTTGGGCGTTGACAAATAAACTAGGTAATGTTTGTTTCAGAATCAATTTTGCCCACACCTTGTACACGTTCCAATAAAAATGTCTAATTGAAATTTTAGGTACCCATTTCAATTATTTCATCGATATAAAATCAGTTGTACCCATATTCAAAACAGATATTAATTTAGATACACATTCCAACTATGTCTGTTCATTGATTCAGTTCTATCCAAAGAGGTACTATAATACAGGCTTGGAAATTTGTGAATTAACATCAAAGTGAAACTTATAGTCCCAAACATGTACCACATCAAAGATTCTCTTCAAGTTGAATATCTCCGTAGTCCATTGCCCACAAGGTTAAAGTCATAATAGTAGATAGTCAACATGATCATTGACCTTATCATCTCCTCCACCAAAAGGGTTTTCTAGCTCCCTGTGAAGGAGGTGGTGTCAGAATATCAAGCATCGTTTCCTTCTCTTTTGGGGTCAATGAAACACCTCTAACAAGGTCCAGAGCCATGATATGGACATTAGTCTTTTGTTTATGCTTCTTATAAGCCCATATTCCTGCAGCTGCACCGGCAACTAGGACCTATTTGAAAGAACATATTTTTAGAATCAGCAAAAATTTAAACTGCATAAAAGTAAAAAGCAAATTCAAGTCCTTTCAATCCTCAAGAGGAAAAAAATTACCGGTGATAACCACAAAGCTGCTGTCTGCATATCAAACTTTGGTGTATATAGTACAGTCTCTCCAAAATCGTCCTCAAGCTTTTTGTAGATTTCCTTGTCACTCTTTCCAGCCCGAATTTCATCACGAATTAACTGAGAAACAGTACAAGTGCTTAGGAATTGCTTGATAGCAACAAGGTGCACTTCCAAAAAACTGCTAGCAGACATGGCTGTTTTTTATTTTAAAGAAATTCTGAGTAGAAATGGATCAAAAGCCGAGATAAAATTAGGCAATAAACTTCAAAATCTTAAAATATATGTTCTACAAACATAGGAAAATCGGTTATTTCACACACACGGAATTCCAGAAACAAGCCTGGCATGTTCTGTTTAATGTTTCATAGCTTCATCAAGACAAAAATTCAAATCATTGACAATGAAGGGTACAAAAACAAAAGGCTTTTTAATCAAAGCAAATTAAGCTTTACAAACCATGTATTCAATTAAACTAGAAAGGGGGAGTTTTGTTTTTCTTCTTTTCCGTTTCCTCATGTGGGGTTGCAGGAATGCAAGTTGGCAGCCATTTAATTGAGAGAAAGCCAAATTAAGCATGAAAGAGGATAAATTATACAAGCAAATAAGAAAAATACCGCACAACTCCACAAAAGTTGAACTTTGATCACAAGGGAAAGCAGATTAACAGGTAACATATCCAAATGATGCATTGATATTTGATAACTCATACTAGAAGCTACATCAAAAAGGAGTTTGAGTGTTAGGTTTTCATTTTTAAGTCGAATACAAAAAATAACAATCTGATATTTAGACCTCGCCCTTATGCACAAATTCATCTCAGTTTCTCTCCTAATTATTTCCAGTTTAGAAGCCATTTGAAGCTCCAAACAAGTAGTTGAATGAAACAAAATAAATCAACTAAGTAAATCATGTTTCCGTAGACAGTGAGGGAGTAATTAATAAGTAATGACACATATATCAGAAAGTAAAAGTGCAGCGAAAATAAGCACCTTCCTGAGCAAAATGGCAATGTCTGCTTGAGAATCCTCAATAGATTGACTCCCACACTCCGTGCACCTCACATTGTGACTGATGTTTCTTGCCCGAGCATCTACTATCAGTGCGTTCTTCACTGCTTCATCATCACTCGCCATTGAAACCTACCCAAACAAATACCATCAAAACATTCAATTCAAAGGCCAAAAAAAGGGACTTAGAATGCTGAGTTGTAGAGGTAGTCATGAAACTTCTGTTTCAGCCACACATTTCATCAAACAGCTGCAAAGCAAAACCAGGACAGGAACACAACAAAACCAAACCAAGAAAAATGAATCACGATTCCTTAACTCTAACAACCAATGATCATGAAAATGAAAGAACACCAGAAATTAATCCCAATAATCTAAAGCATAACCAACGCGACAAGCCTTCGTTCATTCATTTTTGTCGAACAGTTGCGATACAGAGGGTTGAACAGAGAAAACATTCCCTCCAAAATTGAAAGAATAAGTAATTTTGACGGTGGAGTTTAATATATGAATTTATTGAATATAGATAAATGTAAATTGGGTTTTAGTAGAAACTTACAGAAAAAAAAAATCGATGAAAAAAAAAAAGCGAGAGTGTATGATCCTTGTTCTTGGCTTTCTATTCAAAGCTTGAATTAGATTGCGCGATGTCGTTTTAGATCCATGAACGAACTCATACCGTAGAAAAATCAAGGACCCAATAAAATACGTATTAATAAATTATTTATATAAATTAAGAATAATACTACTTCAAGCCTCAAGTATAAATAATATCGGATAATTCATAAAGCGGAAATAAAAACAAAAATACATAATTTCATACTAATTAAGAATGTTTATTTGATATTTCTAATTTTATGAAATAAAAAAAAATATTTTTATACAAATATTTTTAATCATATTTATTAAAAATGATATCCAAATTTAATCATATAATCATTTTTAAAATAAAAATAGTACTATTTAAGTTTGCTATAAGGTTAGTATTCTTTTGAAAGAGAAAGATAAATTAGTGAAATTTTATAATAAAAATTCTAGTATTTGATCAGAAAAATAAAACAAAAGGAAAAGGAGTATATATATATATATATATATATATATATATATATATATATATATATATATATATATATATAAATGTTATATATCAATTTTGGTAACAAATGAAAAAATAAGATGGGTTGTTGTTTTTTTTTTCTCTATATTTCACTTCACGTCAGTAGAATTAGATATCTTATTATTTTTATTAGAATCAACTTATATTAAATATCTAATTCGATGCATGAAATAATTTTCCTCTTATCATATAAAAAATATAATAATATTAAATTGTTTCAATTCAATAATTTCTAACTTTTTTTTACAAATTTTTCTTCGTTTCCTTTTGAAAACTTCCAAAATTGTATTTATATGGAAGGCTTTTTCAAACATTGCACATATTATGAACAAGGAATAAGAAGGATTTCTTACTCACATTTACGAATTGATTAATGATAATAAACTCATAAATTACTAGTAGTTATTATAACAAAAAAAATTTAATAAGAATACACAAATTTAGGTAAATACAAGTAACATGCTGTGTTTAGATGTTATATTGAAAAACTTTTGAAAAAACATTGTTGCAAGGCATGGATTGGTGTACGGAGGTAAATTTGCATGAGAGAGATAGAGAGAAGGAAGAGTGAAGAGAGAGAAGGGGAGGGGGTTTTTGATAAACTCTCTAAGCCTGTGTTTGTTTGAAATGATATACTGTTCACGAAGACAGAAGCACGAGATTCACACACATTTGGTTGAACAGATTTACGACGAAATGAAGGTGAGGAAAAGGGGAAGATGGGAGAAAGAGTTTCTTCGTCGATGCACGAAGAAAAGAGATGAAAGTCTCCTGGACAAATTGAAATGTCCAACTTACCCTCTTCCATGCGGAGATATTCTTATATTAATTATTGCAAAAAGTTAAGAAAATACATATATATTAATTTTCAAATATAAAATATAACTTATTTTAATTAATATATATATATATATATATAATTTATATTAATTTTCAAAATATAAAATATATATTCTAAAATATAACTTATTTTAATTAATATATATATATATATATATAATTTTACATGAAAATAAATTCAAATTCTGGAGCCTTAAGATAGCGGTTAATCCGGAACCGCTATCGGATGTGAACATATGATAGCGGTTCAGGTTTAACCGCTATCTAAGGTCTCGAGGAATTGAAAATGTGATCGATCATATTTGCAAAGTAATCGATCATTTGAACGTTTATATCTTCTAAAATATAATTTATTTTCATTTCTATAATATATATACAAATGAAAATAAGTTATATTGTGGAATATATATTTTATATTATAGTAATTAATATAAATTATATTTTAGAATATATATATATATATATATATATAATTTTCTATCAAAATTATATATTCTAAAATATAATTTATTTTCATTTCTATATATATATATATATATAAATTTTAGTAATATTGTGGAATATATATTTTATATTATAGTAATTAATATAAATTATATTTTAGAATATGTATATATATATATATATATATAAATATAATTATAGATCAAAATAAATTCAAATTACGGAGCCTTTAGATAGCGGTTAATCCGGAACCGCTATCGGATGTGAACATATGATAGCGGTTCGGTTTAACCGCTATCTAAGGTCTCGAGGAATTGAAAATGTGATCGATCATATTTGCAAAGTAATCGATCATTTGAACGTTTATATCTTCTAAAATATAATTTATTTTCATTTCTATAATATATATACAAATGAAAATAAGTTATATTGTGGAATATATATTTTATATTATAGTAATTAATATAAATTATATTTTAGAATATATATATATATATATATATATATATATATAATTTTCTATCAAAATTATATATTCTAAAATATAATTTATTTTCATTTCTATAATATATATATAAATTTTAGTAATATTGTGGAATATATATTTTATATTATAGTAATTAATATAAATTATATTTTAGAATATGTATATATATATATATATAAATATAATTATAGATCAAAATAAATTCAAATTCTGTAGTCTTTAGATAGCGGTTAATCTGGAACCGCTATCAGATGTGAACATATGATAGCGGTTCCAGTTTAACCGCTATCTAAGGTCTCGAGGAATTGAAAATGTGATCGATCATATTTGCAAAGTAATCGATCATTTGAACGTTTATATCTTCTAAAATATAATTTATTTTCATTTCTATAATATATATACAAATGAAAATAAGTTATATTGTGGAATATATATTTTATATTATAGTAATTAATATAAATTATATTTTAGAATATATATATATATATATATATATATAATTTTCTATCAAAATTATATATTCTAAAATATAATTTATTTTCATTTCTATAATATATATATATATATATATGAAAATAAGTTATATTGTGGAATATATATTTTATATTATAGTAATTAATATAAATTATATTTTAGAATATGTATATATATATATATATATATATAATTATATATCATAAATAAATTCAAATTACTGGAGCCTTTAGATAGCGGTTATTCTGGAACCGCTATCAGATGTGAACATATGATAGCGGTTCCAGATTAACCGTTATCTAAAGTCTCGAGGTTTTGGAAAAGTGATCGATCATTTTGGCAAAATAATCGATCATTTGAAAGTTTATATCTTCTAAGAGTGTGTGTGACCATTCAGATTTGAGGTATAAAACATGGTCAAACCTCCTCTACTCCAACAAAAAATGTGCACCATACGACCATGGTTTTCGACTTGTGCATTGGTTATGTTGTTGTTGCTAGATTATGTATCTTAGAGGAAAAAATGAGATTATTTTTACTTACAAAAAATGAGATTATTTTTGCTAGGTCAACTTATGTGATTATAATCTGTATATCCATGCATAATGCAGATATCGAAAGACTATCAGACATTTGTTAACCATTCGCTCGTTGTTGATCGAAAGTTTTGCCAAGGAATCGAGTCGCGGGATTGAAGACAAGGTACCAAGCTTGTTGTCCCATTCTATATTATTTCTAAAATCATAATTATACTTATAATAAATAAATTTTACCATATTTTTTATGTATTGTTTTGTATACATATATAAATATTTGTAATTTTACAATTTTTAAATTATTATTATTATTATTATTAATTGAGTATATATTTTAATTTATTATATTTATATTAAAATGTGCATGTAATAAAATATTTGATCCTTTTTTAAGGAACAAAATTCAGTTTTATTTTGTTAAACTCAAGATCAGTGGACCAATCGGTCACTGCAGGTGGTAGATTTAATTATCATCCTTAATTAGATATAGCTTTTATGGAAATTGTATAAGAAAATGATGAACCCAAAACTTTCATTTATAATCAATTACAACTGTTGATTTTATGTATGTTATAATTGTATACCAAAATTGTGTTTTGAATTTGAAGAATGATCTGTATTGACATGTATAACCTCGCTTAAGAATATTACCGTACTTTTGATATGGATAATGCAAAATTCTGAAATCTAAGCATTTAGGTATAAGTATTATGACAATACTTACATATGATAACTTTATGACGCTTGCAATTTCTTTTTAATCTGGTACAATAGGTACTAACTCGCAACAACAAATGAGAATTTGTTGTAAATAATTATTAGTAAAAATATTGAGAGGAAAAAAATTATTAGTAGTTTTGTAAATAATTTTTGGTTTTGTGATACTCGGTTTGCAGATGGCAATTTTGAATTACTTCCATTAAACATTAATTAATTAATTAATTATATATATATATATATATATATATATATATATATTTTGCAGATGGCAGTACAAAAACATTGAGGTCATTGGTTTAGACAATGACGATATAGATACTCGGTCTCGGATATAAACATGATTTCACATATACAAAGTGAGATAAAAAAGCGAAGCGAAATAGGAGCGATGACAATTCTTTGTTTGATAGCTTATGGATTAAATATGTTGTCTATGGTAACTTGTAGTAGCAGTAACATTAGGGACTTTATTTCTGAAAAAGAACGTCGTCGGCACGAGTTGATGTCATACCTTATTCATACTGAACAATCTCGTCACATTATTCGCATGGGACCGGAGGCGTTCATTAACTTGTGTCAACGAGTAAGGACAACTGGATTAGTAAACGATGGGTTACAATCAACAGTGGAAGAACAAGTGGCTAAATTTCTCCATATTATCGGACATAACGTTCAAAATCGAACCTGTTTCATTTTTTTCCATCGATCAAGTGAAACCGTTAGTCGACACTTTCATAACGTGTTGAATGCGATAATAATGTTGGACGAACAATTAATTGTTCAACCATCGGAAGGGATGTGTGTCCGTATATATTAAGCAACAACCGATTTTACCCATACTTTAAGGTAATCTACTTACCAACTTTGTGTCTATATAACATACACATAGATTGTCTAAACTTTAATGACAATAAATTTTTTTACCAATTAGGATTGTTTAGGGGCAATAGATGGAACTCATGTTCGAGTTAAAGTCACAAGATCAGATGCCCCTCGTTTTCGTGGAAGAAAAGATTGGCCAACACAAAACGTATTTGCAGCTTGTGATTTCGACATGAAATTCACATATGTTCTAGCAGGGTGGGAAGGAACAACATCTGATTCAAGAATATTAAAGGATGTTCTTACGAGAGAGGATCGCCTTATCATACCACAAGGTTTATTATTTATAACATGCGGATTTTGTGTATAGTCAACTAGTTTAAATATTCTAATTAGTATAACTTCAATGATTTTAAATAGGTAAATACTACTTGGGGGATGCTGGATTTATGTTAAAAGCAAACATAATGACCCCTTATCGAGGCGTTAGATACCACCTTAAAGAGTATTCTCGACGAGCTCCACAAAACCCCGAGAATTGTTTAACCATCGACATTCGTCTCTTAGAAATGTCATTGAAAGAACATTTGGAGTTTTGAAGAAAAGATTTCCTATAATAGCTAGTGGAACAGAGCCTCATTATTCATTTGATACAATGACGAATATAGTCCTAGCATGTTGCATTCTACACAATTTTCTTCGAGGGATAGACAACGATGAATCACCGTTAGTCGAAGTGGATCGAGAGTTGATGGAACAAGATGTGGATAATATGTCGACTCAAGTTCGGGAAGAGGATTATAGGGAAGGGTCAAACTTAAGAGATACTATAGCAAATCAAATGTGGATAGATTATCAAAGTCATTAGATTTTGTATGTAATAATATATTTAATAAGATGTACTATTGTTATTGTTGAAATACGATTACATTACGATTATCTATTTATAATAATTATATGTTGGTATCGTAATTACATATATTATCTTTCCAATAGGTTTAAAATGAACAGAGGAAAGGATATTGCACCGAATTCGTCAATCGTAGTGCGCGAGTTTACAAAATGGACTGATGACATGGACTTTCGGTTGTTGACTGCTATGCTTGATGAGGCAAGGTTGGGTAATCGGGTTGATGGTAGTTGGACAACCCAAGCATATAATAATATAGTTGAATCCCTAAGACAGTCTGGATTAATTGGTATAACTAAAAATAATGTTAAAAATCGACAAAAAAGTCTTAAGGATAGATGGCGGGAGGTCCACGATTTGTTTCATGGACTTAGTGGATTCGCTTGGGATGATATCACAAAACGGTTTATGGCTGAGCAAGAAGTATGGGATGACCTAATTAAGGTACTATTATATGAATTATCATTTGTTGATATAGCAAAACATAACAATTACAAGTGTTAACCATTCTCATTATTTTGTAGGCGAAGCCTTCTGCAGCTAAATGGAAACTGTCAACTATAAGACATTATGATTTGATGGAAGAATTGTGGGGTGCTGATCGAGCCAGTGGACATATGGCAAGAACTTCGCGTCAGGCCCGAATGAATATCAGTTCTCGAAGGGCAACAGTCGACTTGAACGTTGATGTGGACCCCACACCAGAGGAGCAGCCATTTCACTTTGGCTTTGATGCAGGATTTGATACAGCTTATCGATCACCTCCACGCATGGGTTCCGACAGATCCTGCCGAGGGTGCTCACTCAATTCCATCTCGTTGCGTCTCATCGGTTCGGGTGGAACCTCTTCATCTCGGGGCACAAAAAGAAAAGCGCCTATGGTTGATGTGATGGAAGGTCAATTTGACAAACTAGCAACGAGGCTGGACACATTTACAGATTACCTCAGGCAAGGTAATACATTGACCCAACGATTATCTGACATAGCTGAAAGACAGGTGGTCGCCATTGAACGCAGAAATGATTTAATTAATGAGCAAGTTAATGTGATGAGACGATCATCAACATTTCAACATTCTGAGTCGATATATGGGACATGTTAGTCGGCATGAACCTAAATGACGAGCAACTTATGCTTCGAGTGTTATAATCATTTGTGTACTCACGAATCACATGTTAGACGACTTTTTGGCTTGCCCTCACATCTTCGTCTCTCCCAAGTTGTTCATGTTCTTGAGTGGAAGTGATTGAATGATCTGAATCTGGAGGACTTGATTGCAAAAGATGGATAACATTATAATTATTTGTTTGAAGAGCATTAGTGTGTATAGGTTTATAATTTTAGTAATGTTTCATTTAATTATTATTCTATTTTCACTTGTATTTTATATTTGTTTTAAATAATAATTGACAATTATATTATTAGTTTTCATAATTATTTGTTATTATCAGATCAATATTAATTATTATTTTATATTTTATAATTATTTAATTATTAGTCAAATAATTTATTTAATATGTCAAAATTATTTGAATATGGATATGCAATGTACATAATTTTGTAATTGTTTATTTATATAATTTTTAATAACTATTTAAAAAAAGTTAATTTTTTAAATTTGTTTCCAATTACAAACACTTTTAAATTTGTTTTTTCTTTTAAATATATAATCAATGTTAAAATATGGATAATTAATTAAAAAATTATATTTATAATCATTTGAACCTTATTTTATACAAAGGGTAAAATGGTAATTTTCTTAAATAATCAATTAAAATTATAATTTTTATATCTCATATCAATCAAATCATTCACAATTTCCCATAAACTTTCCTTTCACTTTCCATTCATCCAAACAACTTTAATTTCATCTCCATTTCTCTTCAAATCCCTCATTTTCCACTCTCTCAAATCACTCCAACCAAACAAAGCCTAAGGGATTTGTTCTGTCCAAGGGACGTACGAGTCCTTATATAATAAAAAAATGAAGTATAATATTGTAAAATATTATATAAATATGAGACCTACTTCTAAAAACATATGGGTCTTACAAACTTAAAGTTAACTTAAAGAAGAAGTTTAAAAAGGATATTCTACCTTAAAATATCTTAACGAATACAAATTAATTAAACTGCAAAAATATTCTAATAATTGAAGATTTCTCGGATAAAATCCGTAAATTTCTCCTTTCAAGTTAACTTTTCCTTTAAATTTTCAAGACCCATATGAAAAAGTATTGTTGCAAGGCATGGATTGGTGGTGATGGAGTAGTCTCTCACTCCATAAACCATCCTCTATCATATAATAATTGGTCTCCTACTATCATTAAAAACTAAATTTATCACATTCAACAACCCCACCAATTTCTCCTCCATCTCATGTAATAATAAATAGCCTCTCATATATCATTCAAAATGGAACATGAATTATCCGTGGTCTCTAAATTTCTTTTACACGAATTTAATATCTTTATTTTTAATTATACATGATTTTATTTAACCTTCAGTTCAATTATCCATAGTTATTTATTATTATATAGACATGAACACACACAACTCATTCAAAGTAAAATCATTAATCATTTTTTAAATTCAACTCTTTATGTTGAGATTTTGGTACAAGTGAAATAATAAAAATGAGTCAATATTTCATCAGGGTGAAGAAAAGGGAGAATGTTGAGGTAGGAGAACTCCAAGAAATGAAATTAAAATGGTGAGACATACCCTTCTCAACACACAAGTTTCAGTCAAGCATAGTAGCAGCATGCATCAGGTAATGATTTTCTGAATAAAGACAACTAGCTTATTAGCAGAATTTTGAATAGGGAGTTTCTCTCTAATAAAATCCATTAGTAAGATTTACTTTTATCGTATCATGTTCATGAAAGCAAACTTGTGATATTCATTATGTAATTAACAATTACATAGCCCCAAAGTATCAATTGTAATGTGTTCATCATTTGTCTAAAAAACAAAAATAACTCTAAAATTTACATATGCCTTGTAGTGAGCACCCGAAGAAAGACTCAAATATAGCATGAAATGATCAAAGGCTCTAAAATTTGACCCCATGCAACTAAAGCACAAATTTCCCTGCAAATCAGTGAGACAAAGAAACACAAAAAGATTAATACTGCCGAAATAACAACATAAATTATTTGAAAAGCTACTATTTTGTGAAGTGTAGCACACATTTAGTTTCTATTTGGACAAGGGTTTTTTTTATAAGTACTTCTATGAAAGAAAAAGAAAAATAAAAAGATAAAATGAGTTTCTTCATAAATTAAAAGTATCTTATAAGTTAATATGTGGAAACTCTATCATGTAACTACTTTCAATTCTTATTTTTAACTTTTTATACAAGTTAATTTTAGTTTATGAAAAAACTCATTTTTTATTCTTCTTGTTTTTTCTCTCATAGAAGTACTTAGGAAGTAGTTTATGTAGGTTTGATTCTTAAGCTACTGAAAATAGCATGGGAAAGAAAATTTTGTTTTAACTTTTCACTAAAAATGTTTTTACTACTAAGTTTACATACGAATATATGCCTATACCTTGTCCATGAGACCACATTAGCTTGTTAAGTTCACTTCTTGAGCAAGAAGTGCAATTTCAATTTCCTGAAGTGACTTCCCCTTTGTTTCCAGAATATATTTCTTCACAAAAACCACCGCTATCAAACAAAATGAACCAAAAATAGAGTACAGGAGTTGCGCCCCAATTTGCTCCAGCAAGCGCAAAAAAAATAGACCCACGAAGAAGTTTATCACCTGTTAAAGAAATGTTTACAATCTCACACAACATGGTAAGATTGGAGGAACCAAACCAAATGACACTGATAGAATCTGAAAGGCCAAAACTTACTTCAAACATGTAGAGTGTATTTGATATAGAACCTGCTATTGGGCTTAACTAGTGAAAATATCTAAGTAACTCTATTTAGTATTTAATATGTCAAGTTACCAATTATCTCTTTCCTTAAGGTTCACTTCAGACCTAAAGAAACCTTACTTAATAGAAGTGCACAAGTCACTCAAATATTTAAACAGAATTTTGGTTTAAAATGTAAGCAGAATACAATATTTACTGGTACTAAGTTAAACATGGCTTACGATTACATATTAGTAGATTTCAAGTTCATGACAATGTAGAAAGTTCAAAACGATTTAAATACTTTGGAAAGTTAAGATGAAATAGAATGACGTAAGGAAGCATTAAAGAATATAAGAAAACTTGAGAAGACAATTACCCAATGCACAGCCAGGCAAATTGCCATTGCCTTTGCTCTGATATTGCCAGGTAGTATTTCAGACATGACAAGACAAGGAACTGGACCAGCACCAAAAGCAAATGACAGCACAAACCTGTGTTGTCCATTTCATCATATTTAGCAATATATATCACCTAAAATGAACTCTCAAAGTATATCGAGATTTGTAACTTGTTCAGTAGTTTTGACAGTCAAATAAAGGAATGTAGCTATCTTTTCATATTCATATAACAATCAATGCAGCAGTCCATTGCGAAAAAAATTATGCAAATTTTTCAAAATATAGTTAATACTCAAAAAGGTGCATTGGATTCATTGACCTGTGATTCTGTAGGTAAATTAGATTGAAATCTACGTTAATCAATTGTTAAAACATAAATTTACTTGTGCATTTGATAGTGACAAAATAAGGACACGAGTTTGAACTTCAGAAAAAATAGCATTATTGAACAGGCGTGCACCCCCCCCCCCCCTCCACCAAACCCCCTCCCAACAAATGCAAGTTGAAGTTTTTTTACCACTTACAGTAACATGCCACCAACAGATAGATACATTGCGCCAGATCCGGACGCAAAAGAACTAGCAGCCATGACTTGAAGACCCATCGTTAATGCCTAAATAAGAAAATAGGTAAAGATCAAGTTCATCACATAGCTTATGAAATTAGTAGAAAATGTAATAATTGGAAAGCAATCCAACTCTTAAACAGCATCATAGAGTAGCTTAGATTTCTTCCCTAATTACTGTATTATAGGGAAACCCAAGATAGGAGAGTGCAAAAATGTAGTGTAGTCTTACTCTTGGTCAGCTTGCCTAAGGGAAAACAAGCAAGTGACTTACGAATTGAAAGCAATTGGCTATTTATTGATAAAAAAAATTTGGTTGGATAATCAATTTTCACTGAAAATTACAGGAGATTCTGGTTAAACAATCAAGCCTTAATCTAGATGGTAACTATTGATACAATTTTGTGATTCTTGATTATTCTACCTAAGCTAGTATTGTTTGTCTTTCTTTTATTAGCTGTTGTAAATATACACAATCCTAAGTCCAAACTTCTTGGTACTACATTGCGGTCCCAAAATCATGATGGAGAAGCTCTCCTCTTGCATATTTTTTGACATTCTATTCCAATGCAAGACAGAGAATTTCATTATTTGAACCTTTTGTCTTCCCATTAATTGGCTACCAATTACACGCTACCTTAATCCCACAAAACTATCAGGAAAATTTTCCCATTTCAGGTTTGTTTGTCCAGCATTCCAATTTACATTCTCTGTCCATTTTTACAGACCTTATCCAATGGAGTTATGTTGCATGCTAAAGGAGAAAGGGTTGAAACTTAGTAATTTGGTGTAAAAAATTGTTGTTGTTTGGCAGCTGAATGATTATGGTGCCTTCCTTATTCCAGTGGAAGTTAACTCATATGGCACCCAGTAAATTAGTAATTAAAGCATACTGAATAGTAGACAACACCGTTTAGTTTGAATTTTCTAACATGTGTGTCTAACGAAATTTGTTCAAGTAATATTCTAGTTTAAAAGAGGTTCATTCAGCAAAGTTAGAACTATCATTTTTCTCTCCTACCATGCCCAGAAAGCTACCCAGGAGAAGCACTTTCCTTCCAAGTTTATCCATCAGAATCATTGCAATAACAGACCCTGAAGAGGTATTACACAAGAAGGTTGAGGAATAAACAGCAATTATCAATAAAAAAATAAACAAAAAAATAAAGGAGATAAGCCAGAAGATACCCAATAAATTGCAGACTCCTACACATGTGTTTGCAATATCAGATGGTACACCAAAACTTTCAAAGACAGTTGAAGAGAAATAAAAAACGGCATTTATGCCAGATAGCTGCTGCAACGCAAAAAGCGTAGATCCAATGAACATCACTGCAAAATGCATTTAGTGATTTAGCAACTACACACAACTATATACTATCGCAAAAACACATGAATTATAAATTATGATATGATTAAGCTACCCAAGAATAAAATAGCATGATATGTAGTTATGTACCTCTGGAGTAGCGGCCACAGATTAAATCTGATACTGATACTGTATCAGATCCATCTCCTCTGTCAGACTTTGACAGTTCAGTCATTGCAGCTTTCACATGTACTCCTCCCAAGAGCTTCTCAAATTCAGATTCAGCTTCAGTGGTTCTTCCTATCTGAACAAAATCAAAGCAATATAAGTGTTGGTGTAGAAAAAGAACCTTAATCAATAACAAAAAGGATAAACACAGAAAATAGAAGTCAGAGAGGATGAGACCCTTGGTATTCTTCTTATGAAACAAAAAATGCAGAAAGTCGATAACAAGTTACAGAATAGACATCAGCTTTAGAAAGAATTAATCTTTGGGAGAGGGAAACTCAGAGTCTCCATTTTTTTAGCTTAAAGCGGAAGAAAAAACAGAGTCAAACAAAAAGTGCCAATAGAGTAGTCTTTCAATGGCACCATATCACCAAAATATTGTTCTGTGAAGGGGTATCAAATAAAGGGCCCTTCAAAAGCCCTCTTCAGAATAAGTTAAACAAAACATAAAGGAAACGTAAATTAGTATTCTAAGACATGATAGTTTCTAACTTTTTATACCTCTCTCCTTCTTAAGTATACTAGTGCAGCATTAAACTTTATATATCAAATCAAAGATCGAATTTATACTTAAATATCCATAAACCATGTTTGGGACAAAAAAATTTATAGTCTAGCAATAAAGCTCCAAAAAATTATCCAAAATAGTTGAAAGCCAATACATTAAATTATGATAACTAGTCTTGGTAATTGAATGTTCTTATTAGTTTTAAACACATGGAGATTGGATAACCTTGAAAAGCCAATGAGGACTCTCTGCACAGATCTCCATAAAAAGGGCAAGTATTGTAGCAGGAATGACAGATACCCAGAAACAAATTCGCCACCTGAGCACATAAGTTTCACATAAAATACAACCTTTCAAAAAATACAAGTGGAAAAAGGTAATTGAAATTGAATTTCCTTATAAATGCTACAGTTCACAAATTTCACCAAGCCTACTTAGCAATCCTTACCAACCAACTATTTCCTTTGCCGGGATTCCAATAAAGAAAGAACCCATGAGTCCAAGACATGTCGCAATTTGGGTTAAGGCTCCAAAAGCACCTCGAACAGCTGGAGGTGAGACCTATAAATGCAAATGGAATTAAATTACGTAGAAAAAACCTCTACTGAAAAATATAATGATCTCAAACTGTACAGAAGCAAAATTGTTGATATCATCTAATATACCTCAGCCACATAAAGAGCTGCAACAGGTGGACCAAGTCCAATTCCAGTACCAACAAATAACCTTCCCAGAAGCATGCCCCACAGAGTTTTTGCTGTTGCACTGCAAAAGTTGTGAATAGTAAGTTTATATCTTTATCTGCTGTTTTATTGTTATTGTGAGGAACTTTTTTTCCTTCTTTCTCGTTCTCCCTTCCCCCCTTGCGTTATCTTCTGTTGTTTTATAAAAAATTCCTTGGAATAGGATGACATTGATTTGAAAACAATTAGCAATAGAACATTAACAATAAAAATATAAAAAATAAAGCATGAGGAAGGGTTTTCTTTGTTTTATAACAATGACTATTAAAGTTGCTAACTGTTTTCTCAAATTTACCACTTTTCCCAATTCATTCAGAGATATATTTAAAAATAGTCTATCAACAATAACTTGACAAAAGGAAATTCAAAATTAAGACAGAAAATAGATAACCTTTTGAAACCTTGCGACAGGATCTGACTTTAAAATAAAAAACTACAGACGAAAGATCTTTAATGGGCAAACGCCCTCTTGATCACATGAAAATAGAAAAAGAAAGATAGAAATACTGCATAATTTCAAGGGTCAGCAATGCATCCTCCCTGCCCTGATTCCTACAGATTGATTGCCTAAGTACCCACTCCCAGCTTTTTATCATTTCACCTCTCTTTTCCAACCTTCCTAAAGAATAGATAAATGAGACTATTCAAGTAATTTATCAGTGATCATAAAAGAGAATTGATTAGACCATTTTTTCACCGAAGAAACAAGGATCACTAGTTAACATTACCCAACTCACACAAAGAAAGGAATAAGGAAGTCCAAAGTCCAAAAAATGAAACCAGATAGAAGAAAATTAGCATCCTTTGGTTAAGAAAACATGTTTTTGTATATGTCATAATAAACGACAAAGCTTTTGTACATCAGTTGCACCAACAAAATGCAAATTTTATTGCACATGAAAGCAAGGTCATAGAAATAATGCAAGAGAAATTAATTTACAGCTTATGCATTAAATACCTCATTCCAGCCCCAATTATCATTGGTAAAGCACACAACTGGAAACTTCTTCTACGCCCAACACCATCTGCAATCCATCCGCTGAACAGAGATCCAATAAAAGCACCTCCTAAACATATACTTACTACAAGACCTTTATCAAAATAAAAATAAAAGGAATTAGATAAATATTTAGATGTAAAACATGATAAAGACATTAATTTTTGTCATCAAATTAAGATGAAGTACCTTCTGCCATTGTATTCCCAGTAAATCCAAGATCTATAGAAATGCTTTCTAATGTTTCATTGACTACTCTGCATTGACAATACCAATAATAAAATTAGATATTTCATATATACACAAGAAGAATGAATGTGAATCAAGTTTCAGAGTGGAAGAACGTACCCAATATGGTATCCATACAAGAATGAAGAAATAGACGCCGCTAGTACATGCCGAAAAGAATGCCGCCAACATGGTTTGGCATTCGATACACGCACTGAAGCTATGAGGAACAAAATTCTTCTGTCAGTAATATCATTATAGCATCTCCAAAGCAAGTTCTTATGAGCAACTTACGAAGAGTTTTATTTCACTTAAAATGGGTCATACCATGTCGCATCACTCCTAAGCAACCCATACTACCCTTTTACAAGATTTTCTTCAATGGTGGAATCTTATAAGCAATTCATACTTTAATAAATTATTTTGCACTTCACTTTTTGAAACAATTAATTAAATCTTTTAATCAAACATTAATATAATATGAACCTAGTTTATATAATTTGGACTTAGTCTTATTTGAGACCTGGTTCTTAATTCTAAGAACCCCACTATGACAAATTAGCCAACTCCAGTTGAGATACCTTACAACACCAGCTGCTCAAACCAAATTTCACAAACTCGTAAATGAAACGGATTCTTAAAATGTGTATTCAACTTTTAAGCATATGCTACAGGAATCAATACTCAATAACTACATACATATACTCTCACTGCCCTTTCAAATACACACACACTCACTTGCAAGATTCAAGATTGATTTGAAGTAGCCATTTGCGTTTTTGCCTGAGAGTTGAGTTCAGACTCTGCTGCTATATCCAAATTCTAGTATATTTTATATCTCTTGGATTACTATGGCATTGGTGTAAAGTATCTACCTGTTTTGCTGATGTACAACGTAGTGAGGGGTCTCTCCTCCAAAGCAAGTTTTTTCCATCCACAGGTTTGAACACTAGACTTTAGTTAAGGGATCTAAATCCAGCCCACTTGAACCATGGTCACGGAATCACTCAAATACAAAATCAAGAAATCTAATTATTTAAATTATAAAATGAAACTAGTTAGTGCATGACTGATTTCCTTCTAACTTGTCTAAGAAACTGTTTCCTAAAACAATTTCACACTACTCAGCAATCAACTTCTCATCCAAAATCTATAAGTTGAGAGTGTTATCTTATTCTCTTCTTTTTTGCTTAAAGTAATCTGTTTAAGCTCTTAGGAGAAAAACTTCTAGAACAAAATAATTATCAGTGGCCAAACACTTACAAATATGCTCAATGTAAAGTAGTTTTACACTATCAACCAATCACAAACCATCATTGACATTACTTTTCAAATTTATCATAGATAGTGATAAGCGATTGGTTGGCAGTGTAAAATACACTATCAATGCATAAACCATTTTCTCTAAAGAGAAAAGCATAAACATGAAGAAGGTAAAAAGAAAAGTATATACATGAAGAGGATAAAAAGAAAACAAAGGTACCTAAAGTTTCATCTTTATCTTGGCCAAATATGTGATCCTTGGATGCTACCCGCTGTCTTCCTCTCATGGCAAAACGATAGAAAACTTCTCCAAAATTCGCCAGCGAGTTCTTTTTGATACACTATTGCATCATCATCACAACAACATCAGTTGCATTGCAGCACAAGGCATTGGCAACAACATCAAGCACAACACCGCACCAATCTCAACAATAGAAATAGAAAAAAAAAATCTCAGATCTGACACCCCGCAGAGTTTCATTTTCAATCACATGATGCCACTTTTACCATTATTTTTCCATGCACATTGTCATTCCCGTAAAACGGGGAGGGGGAATCCAAAACTCACGTTACAAGTTTTGTTTTTGTTCAAAAGAGGTTTGTTTATTTATTTAAAGAAAATCCCAAAAAATGAAGCAGCTTTGCTTCTCTCACTGGCCACCCCAGTCACAGAAAAACTAAATTTTACAAAAATGCAATCTAACCCAACACAGGAAAAAAAAAAAACATAAACAAAAACAAAAAACAAAAGTGAGAGAAAATGGAAAGATGGGTACCTCGTTGATGCGAGATGAAAAGGTTGGAATGGGGTTAGAAATGCAGAGGTTGACAGAGAGCGATCCAAATGAACGAGAAAAGAAGAGTGAAGTGTGGTGATGGCAGTTGAGGACGATTACACGTGTCAGTAGCTGACACAGTCTTGGTCCTAGAATAAACCCACCATTGATTTCGCATACACATGTATATACATACGCATCCGCACATGCACAATGATGCATATACAAGTTAAGTGTGATACAAAAAGGAAAAAAGTAGAAGACATGTGGCAGCTTTCCGAGTTATGGTGTCTGTTTCTGATATGCTTGCGGAGAAGTAGAAGAAGAGTCCAAATTTGGCTGGGATTTCATTTACGTTAGCTTGCAACAATCTTTGCTGCAACTTTGGCTACGGAAGAATGTAGAGAGGAAAAAAATTACAGATCATTTTTTTTTAATTTGATAAAAGAAAAAGTGAAGGAAAAATAAAAAATAATAATTTCAAAACATAGAAATTTAAATTATTTCATTTTTTTAATTGAATTTCAAAATCTTCTCGTTTGTTTTTAATCCAAAATTATTTTTAATGTTGTTTTATTTCATTCAAATGCGTATTTCATACACTGTTTTCTTAATTAGTCAAAAAAAAAAACTCAACTAGCTCAAACTACTCTTATTTTATTTGTAAATGTATAATTAATATTTTTAATTTATTTACTTACAATCTATCATTTTTTACCTTTAAAGCCAACTTTTAATTTTTTTCATAAAAACTATCAATAACTTAAAATATTAAATATATTTATTTATTATTATATATAGCTTATATGAAACAAAAATATTAATTATAAATTAAAATTATATAAAAATGAGCATTTCCTATACAGATGCCAAAATACTATTAAGAATTAAGAATACTAAGTATATCAGCTAACAGAGTCACTGAACTACTATGGCCCAAAAAGTGTTTTTTATGAGGATGAAGATAGGACAAGTTTCCTGATTCTATGAATCTACAGACACAACATCATTAATTTAGTAAAAGGTAACAGAAAACTACATAAGCATTCATCAGACACAACACATTAATTTAAGAAAAGGTTACAGAAACAGCTTTGACATGATAAAGGTTGGTATTAAATAATTGTTTTTGTTAGGCAAAGGAAAAGCTTTCATTTTGTTTTTGCTGAAATTATGAACGCATGGTGGTGGGAGTTGGCAAAGTGGCAATAACCCTGGTTTGGCAGAGAAACACCTCATTCCCATCTGTGACTGTGTAAATTCATTGTTTGACAACTTCGTGAAGGAGGGAATTTGAAGCGTGTAGAAGATTGCAAAGGTGAAAAAAATCATAGATTGAAAGTAAATAAATTAGAAATGATATATGTAAGATGGGATATTCAATATTTGCAACCTTCTCTTTTCATGCCCGCCAAATGTATGAGGAAAAGAAAGGGGAATGAGTCCAATTACTAATCTCAGTCAAAACATACAAAAATGCTTAATTTAGAAATAAGTCATTTAAAAAACTCCTTTTTTCGTTCTGGCATTTTTAAGTTAGTAGTTATTTTCTGGGCAGTATTTAGGCTAGTTTTATTCTTCTTAGTTTTATATTCAATGGAACAATTAAAATAATATACAAAGAAGCTAACCCAACACAAAACAAGTAAGCTTTAATTCAATGATGTAATGTAGTGATCTTAAACCATATAAACGATCCTTGTAGTGACATTTACGATAGGAGTGATGACAGCCAAAGCCCTCTTTTCCCCTCCACCTCTTTCACCAGCTTTTCCTCCCAAACTAGCATAGCATCTTGGTAGCACATCTTACTGGCCCAAGATATCTTTTGCTGACTTGTTCAAGATTTGAAAAAGCTCTTCCCTGTAATAAGATAAATTCAAGTGAAGTTGCTTCCAAACTCAGTGCTGTAGAAGCTAAACCTTTTTACTGGGATTTCTCTTGAAAAAAATCAGTAAATGGTAAAAGAAACTTCACCACGCATGATTAATATCATCACCACTTTATAACAGTATTAATCAATCTAGTAGTTAATAGGTCTCTTACTGTAAATGTAACTATCCATCGTAAATTTTCTTTTACTTTACACAATATTTTGTATGAAATCAGAGGTCTTAATCTTATCATGATGTGCTTCATATTAAGCAAACTAATGAAAAGCAGAATGAAGGGGACCAGAATGCTTACCGGTCAGGTTTGAATATGAGATAGCGATAAGTAAACCACTGAAATAGAAAGGAAAGTTTAAATTACTTGCCAAATTTAAATAAATAACTGACATTGATTGAAACACACATCAATTATGCAGCACATCACTTACCACAGTGTAAAATATTCCAATTAACTCAAATACAGTAGGGAAAAGTGGCAATTTGTCAATGGCCTGCATAGAAAAATGACAAAAACAAAATCAGTAGGGTGCAAGCAATGAGATAAAGTTCACAGACACTTGTTACCAACAGCCAAATCAAGAAAGGACGAAGGAATGTCATGGTGAAGCAGTTCTCACTTAAAAGAACTTTTCAAATCCTTCACAAATAACGATTTATTTATGGATCAAACTGTGACAACCCCAATGGATTTGTTCTTCCACCGTCAGATCATTTTTTTTCTAGCAGTGGCCATATCAGGCCATGTTCTATGAAACACTTGCAATTGTATTTGCTTCACATATCCATATTGAATAATTTGAAAATAGATACTTTAGGATATTTTATTTATGCATATCAATGAAGTATCCAAGCCTTCAAAAAATATTTATGAAAATACAATACAGCAATAAACGTACATAAGATACAAATAGAAAAAAACATTGTCTCATGATGAACCAAAAATAGAAATCGTCCTCTACATGGATGATGCTCAAGGAGGGAATAAGATTGACACACACTTAGGATGACAATTATCTATTACTTTTGTTTTGATTTTAGTAACGATGACATTTATATATTTATTATGCTTTATCAAATTTTAACTGTATCCTATATACATTTTTGGAAAAGTTGCATTGCTGTAGATAAATACAAAGTATCAAATCAGTACATTATATTCAAAATTCTTCAATCACGAATTCATTTCCAAAACACTGAAAGTGGCAAAGATTACCGCAACCAAATTTGCTGACGCCCAAAATGCTGCTACAGCTGCAAATCCCAAACCAAAAAGTCCAAGTCGGTCCTCTGGTTGATCCCACTGTTTTAAAATCAACAAACAGTAACTTAGCCAGTGGTATTTTTTGTATCACTTTGAAAGGGAGACAAGAAGGATGAGAGTGGGAGGAGTAACTCACAACATTCTGAACAGACTTAAAAACAGTAAGGGTAGTTGAAGATTCAGAACTTTCCCCAGCAGCCTTCACAACAAAAGAAACATGGTTCCGTCTCCCTGTGATGTGAGCAAAATGAAAAAAAAAAAAAAAAAATATATATATATATATATGAAACATAAGTGATACAAACACTACTAACACAAATCATCACAAATTGTACGTAATCAATAGTCACAATTTTTCCATACAACAGAGTAAGCCAATGTAGTTCAAGATTGACCCCTTTGTCCATGAGAAGTATACAAGTAACGTACATTATATACCAATGCTTTCTTAACAGGACAGAACCTAATATAAAAATCACTTTAACTTTAAATAGTCCAAGAGTACATTAATTTTTTTATTGACAAACAACTACCAAATTCCAACTCCATGCAGGTGATTTTACAGTTCAACCTTGGCACTGGCAGTGATATCATTTGACCACAATAACTATGCTGAGGAAAACCTAACTATTTCTCCTCAGTGGTTTACCTTCGACATAATCAAAATTTTCTCTTTAAACTGAACATCCCAGTTCAGTTTCTCAATGGTTGCACTCTGACTTAAACCAAGATTGCTTGAAAAAGAGATTAAAAAAACTACTGAAAATAAAACCCTATTGTGTCAATGGGAGCACAAATCTCAACACTGAAAGAAAAACAAAATAAAAGAGAAGGGTTACCCGAAAGAAGAGAAACAGGGAAAGTTGGGAACGTCCCTGGATGTGAATTTCTAGCAGGGAGCAGCAGTGGTGGCGGCAAACTTGCAACAATGGAAGCCATTTTGCACCCCTAGAGTTGTGGCAGAAATTATAATAATAATAATAATAATTAAAATTATAAAAAAAAAAAAAAAAACTTGGGTTGAGGTTCCCTCCTATTATAATCAGATGACAGAAATCAGATCGTCTTATGATAATCAGATGACAGAAATCAAAAGTAATATTACCTTGTTTGTCCTGTGATTGTATTACTCTCCTGCAGCAAAGTAAGACACTGAATATTCCAATGCAAGGAGTGTGCACCACAAAAAATTGAAGAAAATAAAATAAAATAAAAATTATTTATTTTTATCTTTTTCTGCACTTTTGTGCTATCCAGTTCTAGCCATAAAAGAAAGGTGAGGTTGGTCTCTATTACTGTGCAATACATAGATGGTACAATTGTTTTTAAGAAGATAGTACTTTTCTTTTATAAGTATATAAATTCAAACATTCATGGATAATACACAGATACAATAAGTACTAGAAATGAAAAATTATTAGTTAATTAATAGAATTTCTTTGTTTTCTTTCATGTAAGAAAAATATTATAGATTTAACCAATGTATACTTTTACTTAACAAATTATTTATTTGATTAAATTGAAATTATTCACACCTTTAGTTTTTTTTTTTAGAAAAAATAATATATATATATATATATATATATATATATATATACTGATAAATTATTTAGTTATAATATTGAATAAATAAATAATTTTGTTTTATGAAAATATTTTTCTAATTTTATCAGATATAATTTTAAAAAATAGGTGTATATTATATTTATTTATGTATAAACTTTCACTTAGTTTTGTTATAATATTTTATGTATTATGTGTGATACAGAAGTGTGATACAGAAGTGTGAACTTGATGGTGTTCTTTATATTTATCTTTATGCAAAAATAGTTAATTAATTAACTATAGTTTTTGTTTTCATAACAGAGCATGAGAACAAATAAAAAAGTGGAATGATAGAAGATAAATTGTTAAACTATGAAAAATATTTTTAAAAATATGTAAATCCATCATATAAATATTTTGGTATACAAAGCGAAAAATAATTGCATTAAAATTATGGTGGAAAAAAAAGAACAATGATAAGTTTGAAGAAATAATATTATAAATAATATATTTTAAAATAATTATTATAATTAAATCTTTATAAGTTTATATATCTAATGTTTTTATCATTTATACACAAATTTTAATAAAAAATAAATAAATATGTTTAGTTTAATATTTTATTTTATTTTTCATTCTTCATTTATTTTTTATTTTTTATTTTTTCACTTAATTTTATTCTTTAATTAAAAATAATATATTAAATTTTAGTAACGTGAGACAATTTTTATTATTGAAAAAAAACATTTAAATTATAATACTATACTTTAATATATTATATAATATATATATATATATATATAAATAGATATTAAATATTTATTTTAAAATACCTATTTATCATAATTAGAGTAACATATTAAATAAAAAAATATTTAAATTATAAATATTTGATATTTTTTAGTTAAATGAGAAATTATTTATTATGGTATAAATAATTTTAAATTATTTACTTATGTTATTGTAAATGAAATTATTTATTATCAAAATAAATAAATTTATTTATTATTATCATATTTTAAAATCTTTAATTGATATTTTGTTAGCTTTGTTGTTTTTTAAAATATTTGTTTTAATATATACTTATTAAATTTTAATATAATAGTTTAAGTAGGAGAATAAGTGGAAGATAAAGAAGAAAATACAGATGTAAAATAGAACAAAAATTGAGAAATGAATAAAGAAAAAGAATAAAAATATTATAGGAAAAGAAGAAAAATTACTAAGGTCAATTTAGATAAATAAATTCTTAAAAAAAATTAGAATATATTATTTTTAAGATTTATTAACCTAATTATTTATAAAATAAATTACCTAGTCCATTATTAGAGTATCATAATATATAATATTATCTCTGAAAGTAATGAGGAGGAAATTGATGGAAATGTTCATACATTCCCAAGAGATTATTTTGATGTTGATTCAAGTCAACACCATTCAAAATGAATTAAGGACAAACTGAATTTAAGACGTTGGTGACAATGTTAAACATTTCCCTACATGCCCAATATATGTTTTTGATAAAGATGATGATTCAAGCAAGACCAATATGATTCCTGAAAACTAGATAGAGTATTAGAATACTGAATATGGAAGTACAAGTCGATGAAGTAATATTATGCATAAGCCTCCAAAACACAAGTGTAATAAAATTCATAACATGATACTTTTCACTGTCATAATCAATTATGATGCATCGAAATTAAAAAATGATTTTCTTTGTCATAATTGATTATACTTGGTAACATAATTAATTATGACAATTCAAATTTGAAAAATATATTTGTTTTAAATAATAAATGTTTTTTAATATATCCCGATTTTTATTCACGAAAATATTAATGTCCAACGACTATTTTCTCGATGTTATTTTTCTATTTAATTAAGTTTTGATGAAAAATAAAAAACCATAATTACGAAATTTGAAAATACAATTTACATTCAATCAAGTCTTGAGAAAAGAATTTTGAGTAAGACAACGAGAGATATTTTACACCTTTTGAGAAAACCTTATTCTCTACTGTCTTTTGTGATGTCATTGTTAAACACACTTGTTCTTGGAGATTGACATTCTACAGGCTTCTACAATTTGTTGTCTCCATTACCCATGTGTGACTATTCTTATTTTTATTATCTTCATCCTTTGTGTATTGGTGGCAAATGAGGTGTTTTTCATCCCTAGTGTGATTCTAGGGAGGTGTTTATCCTTAGTGAGATTCTAAGGAGGTGTTTTCATCCTTTGATTTGTTCAAATGAAGTTTTCATCCCTAGTGTGATTCTAGGGAGGTATTCATCCTTGGTGGGATTCTAAGGAGGTGTTTTTTCATCTTTTGATTTGTTCAGAAGAGGTGTTCATCCTTAGTAGGATTTTAGGGAGTTGTTCATCCTTAGTGGGTTTCTAAGGAGATTATTGTCTTTTTAATTAGTTTACTTTTTACTGGTTCTTCTGCTGAGTTGATTGTAATTTGTAAACTGAATTTGAAAGATAGTGAATTAGGAGTCACTCTTGTGTTAAGAGTTGACTATAAACTGGATATAGGGTTGACTATACCCGAACCAGTATAATTCTCTGTGTGCTCTTCTCTTTCCCTTATCTCTTTCTCTTTTCCTGATTATATTATCGCTTCCGCTTTATATGTGTTCAAACAAATTATGGACTCACAAATAAATTTTTAATTTGACATCTATTTTAATTTGTGCATCTATTCACCCCCTCTAGATGTCATTTGTCTAACAAGTGGTATCAAAGCTTAGTTAGATAAGATATTTCTAAACTATCTGTCAAGATGTCTATGAAGAATCAGGTTTACAAGGGAGGAGTCTCAATAAACAGACCACCATTATTTGAAGGAGAAGACTATCAGTTTTGGAAAGCGAGAATGTAAATATTTTTACAAACACTAGATTACGGTGTTTTGGATGTCTGTACTCAACCGGTCCCTATATTCAGATGAGAACAACGAAATTTGGAGTTGTTCCAAAGACTTTTGACCAATGGATAAATTTATACATAAATAAATATTTATAAATTTATAATTTTTAAATATTATTATTAATTAAATATATATTTTAATTTTTATATATTAAAATATGTATATAAAAGAACTTTAACTATTTTTTCTTTGAATGATTCTATAATACTCATAAGATTATTAGTATTATTATTATTATTATATATTATAATATTGTATTGAAACATTTGATTATATGTATAAATTAATTGTTTTTTTAAGTTGTCATTTTAAGAAGTTAATAAATATAAAATATATAATTTATAAGAAAATATTTAATAAGTTAATTTTTATTTAATTAGTTTAAATTAATAACAAATTTAATTATCAATTATTTTTAAAATACAAATGATATTTTATTAACATAAACTTTGATATATGATAAATAACAATAATAAAATCTAAAAACTATGACATAATAAAATATAATAAAGATAAACTAAAAATATAATAATATTAGTTATTACGAGAATTGATATATAATATTTAGAAAAAAGATAAAGAAGAAAAAAATTAATTTTTTGTTTGTCAAATTAGTTGAAGAGATTGAAAAAAAATGTAAAGAAGTAAAAAGTAAGAGACTGAGAATAATATAATTAACGAATTAATTTTAAAGATTGAAAAAGACAAAATAGTAAAAAATTGGTAGAAAGAAAGTAAAGGAAAAAAATATAGAAAAATAATTTTATATATAATATGAGAAAGAAAAGAAAATAATTTAAATATTTAAATATTTTTGTATTTAGATATAAAGTCGAGACAGAGATAAGAACGAGGACGGGGACAGGGGCGAGGTGAGGTAGGGATTGCATTACCTATCCCTTTAATCCCCAACTTTTTAAAGTCAATAAAATCTGAACTCACCTTTACCCGTCAAACTCAATATAGAGACAAATTTAAATTATATCCTTGCCTGCCTCTTTCCGACCTTATATTTAAATGCAAATCCTAAAATACTACCCTTTTTTACAATATATATTTCCTTCCTTATATTACATCTAAAGTCATTTTTTTTATATTTCATACCATTTTTTTTTACCTATTTTTTTCAATTTTTTTACTTCTGTCTTTTTCAATTATTTTAATTAATCAGTTTAATACATTGTTATTCTTCAATCACTTCTTACTCTTTCTTTTCAATTCATTTTATTCTTCCAATCTTTTTACCTAATTTAATATGATAAATATAAATTTATATTTTTCTTTTTTTATGTAAACATTATACATAAATATTGTTAACATAATATTTAACATTATTTTATTCTTAATTTATCTTTATTATATTATATTTTTTATTTATTTATCACATATCAAATTTCATCTTAATTAAATAATTATATTTTAAATATTATTATGAAAATTGACTCATCAACAAACTCATCAATTACTTTAAAAATCAAATTTTATTAATTTCATAATAAAATTGATAAAACTAGATTTTAAAGTCAAATCATGAGTAAAAAAATTAAACTATTTTTTAATATAATTTATTTATACAAAATATAATATAATATAAAATATTTTATTTTATATTATACTCATTATATAAATTTAAAATAATAATTATTTTATTATATTTTTTTAATAATTATTCATCTCACATTTTTATTATATTATTAATATTTTTAATAATCATAATAATAATCTTCATTATTATTTTTATATAAAAATATTATTATTAATTGATTAGTTATATTTTAATTATATTATAAAAATATTATTTTATTAAATTTGATGGAAACCGATTTAAATTCTAAATTCATATTTTTATTAACTTAATAAACTGTCCAATTTAAAAAATATTAATTTTAAATAATTGACAAAAAATTATAATAATAAAATATATTATTTTACACTAATTAATTAGAAAATAATGTATTAAATGTTTTTTATAAATTAAATATTTTATATTTATTAATATTTTAAAACTATAATTTTAAAAAAATAACCAATACATATACTTAAATATTTAATTATAATATTATAATATATATAATATTATAATATATAATAATAATATTATTATAAGAATTTTATTAAAAAATATTAAATATTTTTTATATGTAATAGATTAAATTATATATTTAATTAATGATAACAATTTAAATTTTATAAAACTATAAATATTTATTTATATATAAATTTATGCCTAAAATATATTATAAATTAAAATAATAAAAAATAAGTACAGTCAAAGAAAAAAAAACTTCAAATTCAACAAAAACGTTAAGAAAGATTTAATGGTTAAACGGACAAGGCTCTAATCTTTCAGTTTGATTAACAAGAAAAATATACCATTTCATTTTCATAATTGACATATCAACAAATTTTTTTATTATTTTAATCTAATTATAGAACTTATTTTAAATTGAAGAGTATTTTTTAAGGAATTTTTTTCTCTTAGCAATAGTTAAAAAAATGTGTTGGTAAATTAA